TCATCTCCCTCCGCTTCACAACCACTCCCCTCCCTATCCCATCCCGCCGTACAAACCCCAAAAGCGCCCTTCCACTCAACTCCCCCTCCCAAAAACCATAAAAAAAAAAACTCACCCTCCTCTAAAAGCGCCAACTGGTTTCCTAACAGGCAAAGGATTTTCTGTAACAGGAGTCGCTCTCCTAACACTCATCGAAAAGTTTCTGCTAGCTACTCCCATTACCGGGGCGCGAAGCACTCTGCTCGCGGGTGTGAAGATGCGCGATGCCATTATATCTATCTTTCTTATATTGTATCGTAGAACGCGTAGATGTCAAGTGTGATAGTGTGTCAATAATAAGACGTTCGAAAGTGCCGTCAATGCTTTGTTACAGGGTGGTGTGAAGTTCTTTAATCGGCCTTTGTTGTATGTTTTGTTGATGATCAAGCTTTGTTTGGAGCTTTCCCCGGCCACAAACCTTCCTGAGGCTTGAACAATTTTCAGTGGAAACGAATCATTGCGGGGTTGTTTACAGTCCCGAGGTCTACATATTTATTTTGGGGAAGGGAAAATAGAAAGATCTACATGATTCAGACAACAATTTTATCACGCGTGAATTTTGAATAATTAATAAAATATTTCTCATTTTGCTTGGATATTATTGAGTTTAACAATTTCAGGAGATCCAACCCCGATAGACAGTAGAGATGAAACCCCAGTTTTCTTTTCGAAAATAAATCACAATTCGTCGTGCTCCTCAGTAGCACCTGCGGCCTCAGTGGCCTCAGCAACCTTGCTAGAGACGGTCTCCTTAGCCTCCTTACCAGCGCTCTTTGCTGATTCAGTAGCTGCCTCTGCTTGCTTGGCCAAAGACTCAGCGACGGGCTTCTCAGCCTCTGGGGAAGCAGCAGCGGTCTCGTCATAGGTAACTTCAACCTCGTGTTTGCCGTTCTCCTTAACAAACTTGATCAAATCCTCAATGCTACGGCTGCCATTGTAGGTGACTGGGTTCTTCTTGTCTCCAGCCTTGTACAATTTGATGGTTGGGAAACCTTGAATCTCATCTGGAACATCGTTGAGAGTAGCATCAACCTTAGCGATGGTAACCTTGTCAGTGTGACCAGCATCAGCGTAAAGACCAGCGAGGATATCGTATTTTGGTGCAAGAGCCTTGCAGTGTCCACACCATGGAGCGTAGAATTCAATCAAAACATCTTTCTTGTCATCCAAAACGATGTCATCGTAGTTGTGAGCTACAACGATTTGAACTGGACCTTCTTGCGTTTCTGGGATTGGCTCAGACTTGATACTTGGCTCAACTTTTCCGTCAACGTATTGTTGGACGAACTTGCTAATGGTAGCGTGAGTGATCTCGGTCTTTTGGTCGAAAGGATATTTCTTGTTGTCGACAGTGTTTTGGATAGCGAAAGCAGGGAACTTATCAGCCTCGAGGTTCAAGTTACCAGCGTGAGCTCCGAAAGCCTTTGCGTCGATGGTTGCAAAGCTGACTACACCACGGTGCTTCTCGGCAATTGGCTTAAGAGCCTCGGCGAGGGAAGTTCTCTCCTCTGGAGTTTCGGCGAAAATGTATGCCAACGGGAGTCCAGTGGCCATATATCCGGCGTATGTTTCTGGGCCAACTTCACCAATCAATGGGATAGATGCAGTCTTTGCGAACTTCTCAATAACCTCGGGCTCGAAAGCATCTGGGTAAATAGCCTTGCCCTCATCGAACGACTTGTAAAGAACGATGGATGGGAAGCTAACACCCTCGGCCTTTGCCAAAGCTGCATCATTGCTGGCACCGAATAGATAGTCGTCACGGAGCTTCTCTGCGACAGAGTTAAAAGTAGCATTTGAGGCCTTGTCTTCAGCATCAAAATATGCAACTAAAACTACCTTGTCGGCAGTCTTGAAATCCTCCAATGTGTCCTTGGTTAAGACTGAGACGGCTGGGAGGGATTGTTTGGTCATGTATGAGACGATCCTAAAATAATTGTTAGCTATGAAAGATTCCTGAATTACAATGCATCTGCTTACGCTGGAGCTTTTCTTGCACCAGAATATGGGGAGACATTGTCTGGGCCACGGAAGACCTTGAGAGTTGGGTAACCTTCAACGCCATAGGATTGGCAGAGGTCGGCCTCTTCTGTGCAATCAACCTTGGCCAAGGCAATCTTCTTCTCCTTCAATGTTGTAGCAGCTTCTTCATACTCAGGTGCCAATGCTTTGCAGTGACCACACCAAGGTGCGAAAACTATAGGATCGGAGAGAGTTAGTTGGTAGTTGACAAAGTGGCAAATGCGTTGCGTGGGAAAACTAACACTCTAAAAGGGCCAAGTCATTCTCCTTGACGAAATCTGGGAATGTGTCCTTGGTAAGAGAAGTTACATCAGAAGCCGAAGCAATTGCAGCTGATGCAAAAGCCAATGCAACACACTGGATATAACGCATGTTGAAGGTGTTTCTGTTCACGGACCTATAAGTCAAAGTATTAATGGAAATGCCAATGTGAAAGTGCGGAAGTGTGCAATTTGAATGGGATTGCTGGAAGTTGGAGTTACAAAATGATTTGAAACTTACGTCTTGATATTGTCGTGTTAAAAAGAGAGAGAGAGAGAGAGTTGGATTTGTATAAGGAGGAAGAGGAGAGGTGTTCCCTTTATTCAGTGATTTGGTGATTCGGCTACCGTGAATTTATCAGCCTTCTCGCTAATGATTAAAGATAACAGCGTGTCTTTACTTTCCACTGTGTACCACTAATAATAAAAACTACCTACAGGGACATACGGAGTACTGAAGAATTCATGTTATGCGGACTGCTCGTACCTACCTACCTAGGTAAATGAACGACCCCTCTGGAATACCAAGATTGAATTTAGCCCATACATACTATATTAGCCTGGATCATTGTGACTATTAGAAATCCAAAATTGAGTACACACGGAGTAAAGGACAACAAATCATCATCCTTTTTGTATTACTCAACACATGTATCGGGTTATTCTGAGGATACATAATGTATATTAAAGATCCACCATGTACCTGGTCCCTTATTTCAACCCCGCAAGTTTGATAATATGTTGGTTGGTAACTTTAAATATTGATCCGCAGCGCAGGTTAGCTCTTGTCCACTCCTTGAAGATATCTCCAGCTTTGAGTTTGAGAGATTTATTTTAATATACCTGATCCCATGACCTCTTCTCCTCTATTAAATTGGTACATTTTAACATCTTGTGAACTTGTTGTTTATGCAATTGACACAACTACGTGGATTACGTGCAACAGATGTGTAAAATATACTTGAAAAGTCATAGACATTGACAAGTTAGTCAACCTCATTTGTAGGAGGCTGACCAGTCAAGGTAAGGATTAGTTCAGCCTATTCCTATTTGCATCTCCACTTACATATAAATGTATAATCTCACATTTATTTCATATTGATTCTCAAAATCCTACCAATCTATGAACATCAGAGGCTCTTGATTTGCATCTCTGCAAATACCTGAGTGGGCCAGGCAATTGATTTTGGTTGTGATCTGAGACAAAGGTACAGTCCTTCACTATTGATAATTGGATTGTGGTTCTTGATAGCAGATGCTGATGCGTGGTTCAATAGCCTGTTCATAATCCATCACAACATCACTGTTGGCTAGCAGCTTTGTCCATTGCTGTTGACCCCAGAAGAAATATTAACACCTATCTGGGGGATAGCACATCATCATCTCATGAGAATGTTGCAAAATAATTCTAGTCGTGGTGAACCTATGTAAATCTCATAGGTACAGCCAGGTACAGCTGTCGATGTAAGACTTACAGCCATATATGGTAGGACGGAAAATCTCCTCCAAATTACCAAAGTTCGATTTATTTCATCTCTTTTCCATAACACTGACTTATCATGGTATGTGTACCAGAGTCAGCATATTTGTAAGTGCATGGCGAATACGATGATGAGAGCCAGACCTTTCCTTGAATTGAAGGAATAAAAACTCTTCATGGTAACATTACAACATGATATCATAAAATGAGTACAAAACAAGTACAATGAGATAATTATGATGAAGGCAGCCAGGCTGGAGGGAGATTCAAGTGTATTAAAAGATTGATTAGAAAAATACTGAACAGAGATACTAGGTATCTTATTCAAACTTATCGACCTACATGAAATCAACAGCTTGTAGGAGGATTTATATAACATGAGCTCAAGTGGATGGGTAGGTGCTATCTATCAAGAAGATTCTAATATCAATCTGGCTTGCCAGAGTATAATCGTTTTTCTTTTCTCTTCTAGTAATGAGGTGATGGATATGATAGATCTCAAGCAATACTTCCTTCATATGGAATTTTTGGAGTCTTCGAGGACAATGAAGGTGGCTAGACTTACATAGAATAGGTACTCGCCATCAGTCCTTCCCGATTGGGTAATCACGCATTTCATCCACCCTCATGTATCCAGCCATGCACTTTCCCTTTTCATTTCACTTTAACAACAGTACCGACTTCCATCAACCATCAAATGTCCTTCCACCACTTTGTTTGTCAGAAATGTTATCTTACAACTACCTCTTCTTCTTTTCTCATCATCATCATCTGTAGATCTACAGATTCTCATAAGCTGGGGATTATATTTTGGTCAGCTTCAAATCACTTTCTGCCACTTCTTTTAACCTTAAACTCATATCTGCATACCATTTCTTTGGGCTTCCTCCAGAGTGAAAAATTACTTTCTTCAGTGTTATCTTCAAGTCATCATTAATCATATCCAAGTGAGCGAGCATACATCAAATGCATCCACAATGGCAACAGTTCCACCAGGAAAACAGCCATTGAGTCGTGAGAGGGATTTTAGTGGTATTAGTGCTGGTAATGGTTCAATTGGCCCAAGTGGTATGAATCCTTTGCGACCGAGAGCGAGTATCGACAAAGTATCAATACGCAATGGGTCCTCGATCAGAACCTTTCAAGATACTAGCACTCCGCCCGCACTACCAAAAGGTTTTGAGGGTATGCTGAAAACTACAACCGAAACAGGAGATATTGGTTTATTCTCCATCAAGCCTTCACGCCTACCTCAAATTTCCAATACACTGCCACGGCGCAGTAATGGAGGTTATAGAGACAATGATCTGCAGAGGCCACGGCCGAATTTCCTGCCTTATGGCGTACCAATGGTTGATGACAGAAGACGACTGCCATCCTACACAAGAAAAGGTTCCTCGGGTGTGAAATCACTGTATGATTCCGCCAGCGTCAAGTCTATTAATTCAAGCAATAGAGGCTTTGAGGACCCTGATTATCGATCTTACTCAATGACCCAGACAGCATCCAATTCAGCATATACTCTTTCTAATCAAAGGTCATATGCAAGCCTGCGAAGTCAGCAGGATGGAGCTGTACTTGTCCAACGGCCTCGATCTCCATTTGCATACCCAACACGCTTGAGACGACCTGGATTCAGGCCCTCTTCTCCAGCCCTCACTGATGGTGGTGGGGTAGACTATAGTCGACGTGCCGAGATTGATCGGATCCCTTATGTTAGTCTTTCCGATTCTCACTACGAGACACTTCGAGTTATTTTCTAGCTAACATCGTGCGGCAGGGAGCTGTTCGCAACGTATCTTCGCCAGCTTCGTTATACGCACAGAAACGAGTGCCACCGCCATTGTCACTACGACCAGAGGCTAATCGATCAACCCCTTCATTGTTAAGCCAGCCTTCACCGAAGAGACGTACACCAAGTCCTAACTTACGTCAAGGTAATGGGATGACGGGATCAGATTGGCAACGCCGCAACGGCCCAGCTTCGATCAACACATCTCCAGCGCGGAGTACACTCAGCCTTGCCTCAACGGCAAATTTCGTTCCGACGACCTTGTCCCAATCTGCAACAAATACCCCAGGAAAACCATCACCTTTGTACTATGACTATACCGAAGACTTCGAAGTTGAAAATCAAAACCGCTCAAACTTGGAGCCACCACCACAATTTCAACTGCAAAGAACAATTCATGAAGATCGACCTTTGAGTTCAGCACTTTTGCCTCTTGCCCATAGTCTTCCATCTAGGCTCAATGGAAGCAATACTCATCATCTCCGTGCATCATCATCGGCATCAACTATAATTAGACACCCGACGAGGAAGAACAGTGCAGAGAGTACAAGTGGAGTTTCGAACGGCGTTGGTCATATTCGAGCTGCATCTAGTATTTATGGTAAAATTGGGGAGAGCTCAGCGTCATCAGATAATGTCCCCAATGACAGCAGTTCAATCGACATGTCAAACTTAGGTTCCAATGCTCAAGAATTGAACTCGCGGGTGTCTATGGCTTTTGGCCTACTCCCTTCGTCATCATTTGAAGTCAAGATCACACCAGGTTCTGTCGAAATTGAAGCTAACCAGGCTGAGACCACACTTGTGGCAGTCAACAGCATGATTGCAAAGACCAGACATCAACAACGGTCTTCATCATTACCAACCACAAAAATAGAAGTTTCTCCCACATCTTTCCCATCAACAAATGGTTCTCAAGAAATTACCACAAATGATGATCTTGCGAGAGGAATCATTTCCAAATCCAATAACCAAAGTGATCATTCAAATGCTAGGAAGCGTCCCAGTACAGATCTTCAGCAACCATCGAAGGATGCAGATAAATGTGATGATGTATCTAAACTCAATTCTGTGCACGTAAGTAGAGTTACGTCTAGTGGTATCTTCACCATTGATACTGGTCTCGATGAACTAGCCGATTTAATGCCTACTGATGATCCTGGTCGGTCCAACACCTTCGGTAGTGGGTATCCCCCTGGAATCCGGAGGACACCTATGATGTCGCCAACATTACCTCGCGACTCTTACTTTGATACTCCTTCGGTGCACCGTACCAGCGCCCCCTTGCCACCAATCAAGAAATCAGAGAAAGACTACATTCACAGCGTGGTTCCTTGTGAAAGTTTCAAAGATGGACTCCAAGTCTATGAGCAGCGACTCGAAAAGGGTAAATTGCCTAGTTATAGGTCATCTGAGCTTCACAATCTCAGTGAGCAGATCTCAAGCAAGATTATGCCTAGATCTGAGTCTCCCATGTTAGCACCCAAACCAATCTCACCAGCAAGGGAATTAAAATTAAAGAACAGCGTGCCACAGCTTATGAAGTCTCTCCCCAAATTGCCCGACTCTTCCATTCGTGGGTTGACAGTACCTGGAAGGTCCGCCATATCAGACGCCAATATTCCGTGCCATTTTTCAGAACTTTTGCCTGAGGGAAAATTCAAACCAGTTGAAGAGGGTGTAGTAGTCTCATCGCCAAACAAGGCATCGAAGACGTATCCCTCTTTGGAAAATGAAAATGTCAAAATTTCATTAGAGCAAGTCGAATTGATCCCCAGCCCGACCAAACAACAGGAGGTTGAGCCAATTAAAGAGAGTCATGGTCCTCGCTCTTCACCTATGAAATTAAAGCTCAAGGTTAGAAATCCTGTTGTAGAGAAGGCATCATCTTCGGAACTTGGTACCAACAAACATGAGGAAGCTTCTTCTTGGGCTAATTTACAAGACAATACTTCACTATTAAACACTCAAAAAGAGCAAGGCGGGGAGCTTAAGCCAGTCAAACTCAAGTTGAGACTCACTAGAGCTACAGGTTCAGAACCATCTGGAACTGTAAGGGTATACAATGATTCTGGAGATCAATCCAATAATGATTTGAATATACCATGTCCGAAGGATTTATTCACACCCACCACCACTGGGTTTGACAATATCTTCCGACAAGTTAGTAAACATCTCCATTCACGAAGACCCAGCACGAACAGTGATCAGCAACTTGAAGATGGCGCTGAAATGATGCCAAGTCAACTATCACTAAACGTGCCTCCTCGCTTGGATCTTGGCATTCCTCATAGTGGACCATCTGGGAATTTACCGAGCCCCTCGGATGCACGAAGCTTTTTCTCCGACGACAGCTCTCATCGCAACGGGGGTCATGGTTTACGAAAAAGAATTTCCAACTTCCGAGCTCGCGTTGGTGTGCCATACGTAGCTCGAAATGGATCATATTCTTGTGACGACATAGTTTGGAGAGATCAAAGTGGAGGTGTTGGCCAATCACCTCTAGCTGCTAAATCTGTCGCTGATCTCAATGCCACGAGAGCCAGCTTCGTAGAATCACCTAATCCGCGACGGTCCGAGCATAAGTTGCATGCACATCGACTACGAGCAAAGGTGTCTGAATGGTTTCGTGGAGCACGTGCTGCTATCTCCGCTCGTGTCAAATTACGAAGTACAGCCAATACTGGCAATGAGAGATCAAGGGCGAGTGCATAGTAATCTGAAATGGCACAGTGTCTTAATATGTTGATCTTTAACTTTTAACACTTGTATTGAGCTTGTCATACAATTTTTCAATTGCTTTCCGTGGAAGACACTGGGCTAACCGTTTCATTTTCTTGCTTCTGGCGTTTGGGTGTGTAGGGTAGGGCTGAGATTTGTATGGGTGGAGTTGGAGTGTTAGCTCCATGAAAGCCAACCTAGACTGAAATCAAAGAATAATGTTAATGATTTTTATATATTCCAAGACCCTGCATCAAAAAAATTCTTGGTTTGTGATATGATATGTCGGAGCTATGGACTACAAATTAGTGAAGAGGGGTAAGACTCTATTTGAGTCTAGATTCCTAAATTCGAAGTTTATTTGGGCCGGACTTTGACACCGTTTTGTTGAAGCTAATTATCTTACTAATAATACTATTAAAATTTTAAACTAGAGATTAAAGATGGGCTTAATCGACAGTTATTACCGATTAATGATCTGCAAACCGTTGAAACTTTATATCTGTCTGTATCTTGGTTCTGTCTGGTGTTTTTTTTTTTTTTTTGGTTGGATTGGTAGGTGGCTAGTCATGTTTTTGCTTGCGTGGGTGGGTTAGGGTGGATCGTGGGGGTTGGTTGTTGGAGGTTTTTTCGAGGGAGGGGTAGAGGGGTAGAGGGGTGTTTGGGGGGTTAGGGGGGTTAGGGAGGGGTGGGGGGATGGAGAGGGAGGAGTGTGTTTTGATGTGCTTACTGAGTCGTGTATGTGTTTGGTGGGTAGGTACTAGGTAGATATGGTCTGGTGGGTAGAGACGTAAAGATTGTCTGTTTTTATTAATGGAAATTTTTTGTATCTTGGGTGCATATATCTTTTTTGGGATTGAGGAATGGATGGATTGTTCAGGGGATGGGGGATTGAGGAATTGATGGATTATCGAGGGGATGGGTGTGGGGTTATGGGGAGTTTGTGCTTTGGATTTTATGGGATGAGTCGAAATCATGTATGGGGATGGGAATAGGGATTGGGATTGGGATTAGTTGGTTAGTTGGTTGGATACTGGGTTAGAGGTTGATTATTGATTTTGAACTATTTGATTAGTTCGGTAGTTGGAGATTAGGGGTTGAAGACTGAGGGAGGGACGAAGAGGCGGGGTTAGACTGAGTTTAGAAAGAGTTTACGGAAAGCATTTCGGAGAGGTAGCGGGAGATGGAGCGAGGGATTAAGTTTAAATTTAAATTTAAGTTGTGATGATATAGTATGATGTCGATGACTCGCGTGTGTGTGTGTGGTGGTCTGGAATTGAGGATGATCATTGATAGTTAGTGAGGTTTAGAAGTTAGATTCGGGACTTGGAAGGTTGGAAGTTGGAAAATAGGCAGGTTTAGGGATTAGTTTGGAAGTCTGGAGGTTGGAAGCTTGGAGGTTATAATTTAAAGGTTCTAAAGCGGTGGTTGTATGTATACTATATCTTGTGTTCTATCTATCACTCTAATATCTGTATTCCTTCTCTTCTTTATATTTTAATTTTGCATATCTATCTATCTATTCATCTATCTGATAATATCTTAGTACGGAGATATCAGATATATTAGCAGTCAATTGCAGTATTGTGTTTTCATCTACTGTTTACTACTGTAGCATTCTCGTATCTATATATTTATTGATACCTTATTGGTATTTATATATCAGCCATATCATATCATATCTGTCTATTTCTTTACGATATACATTCAAAAGAAATATATATTTTACTTTTATCTATTCTCTACCACTCTACCACTATTCTCACAATATCTCACTAAACAATCTCAACCTACCAAGCCCACAAACCACAACACCACAATCACAACCACAATCACATCCACACACCACCAAAATGGCAAACCAAACAAGCATCTGGCGATCAATCTCCTGGTCCAAGAAAAACAAAAGCAAACCCCCAAATAAAGATCTGCCAGAACTCGACACCTCACTCGCAAATGCAAAGATAAACTCTACTACTGATCCTCTTACTCCTCCGGCGTATTTTGAAGCTATTTCTCCTCGAACAGTCGTGGATACTAATAGAAGGGTTGGATATGGAGGTCTTATTACACCGCCACCGTCTCCGGAAGGCGGAATATCTGTGGATCGGGAGTTTGGGGTTGGTTATGAAGATGGAGGTAGAGATGGAGGTGGTGGAGTTGGAGATGGAGAAGGGAGTGGAGATCGAGAAGGAAGTGGAGAAGGGAGTGGAGTTGGAGAAGGAAGTAGCGGAAGAAATGGAAGCAGTCAAGAAAATGAAAAATCCTTTCAACGGAGTATAGATAGAGATATCAAGCGGATGGTCGAAGGACCCGATACACCGAATCCAGTTTCTAGCGAGTACACAGAAGAGGTTTTTGAGCTGGCTGATGGTGAGAAAGGGGGGAAGAGGAGTATCTGGAGAAATCTTTGGAGAGGAATAGGGATAGGAAAAGGAAAGGCGAATGATGGATCACCAAGCGATTCGGTGCAATTCAATACGGTTAAATGGGACCCGAAAGAGATGGGTAATGATGAGGGACAGGACAAAGAGAAAAAGGGTGTGAAGCAGAGGAGCAAAAGTGATGGTCAAGCTAAGCGACCTAAAAATATAGGAGGAAAGGAGGAAATAAGTGTAAAGAGGCGGTGGACATTCCCTGGTTTCAGGAAGAATACTCTTGGGGCCGTAGGGGCGGAGGGAGTTGAAGGTGAATCCGAACGATTGGAGAGGGAGAGGAAAGAGGAGAGACAAAAGAGAAGTATTGAGCACAAAAAGAAGTACCCTAATAGTGTTCTTGATGATGTAAGTTTTGTAATTCATGTTCTATTTAGGTACATTAGGGTTTGCGCAAAAGAGACTAATTCGTTTGCTTCTTCTTTTAGATTAAAGACGAATACAGTGATTATAAAAAAATTGCCTCAAGCCAATTAGATGAGTTTGTGCAGGCTGGAAAGAATCTCGAGGCCGAAGCAAAAGCCAAAGCAGCAGCCAAAGCCAAAGCCAAAGCTAGGGTGCCAAGTCGTGTACCTTGAATGGGCCCTTAAAAGACGGCGCCACCAACAATAAACACACGTTCTTCTTCACGCTTGACCCATTGGATTATTTTATTGGCTCCTTGAGCCAAGCCAGCGCGTGAAGCATTAGGACCTGCTACGCAATAGAATTCAAACTGGGGGGTTGTCCAAGCGAGGGAGATACTGTCCCGAGAGACACAGTGGAGGACTTTGAGGTGGGAGTGCTTTTTGTGTGTTGCGGAGTGGAGGTTTTGGTATCGGTTCATGAGACTGAGTATTGGTGTTAGATTTTGTGGCTTTCTATGAGGCTTGATAATTCGTGGGATAACGATATACCCCTAACAGATACTTTATAGTTATCGGAGAAGACTATCGCTTAATGTTTAATAGCTGTAAATGAGAAATTTGATCTTACCTTCGACGATTGACAAGAGTGTTATAATATGGATCGAATGACGGCATCGTGAATTGAACGTTTGCTCGTGACTTGTATAGGAAATGCCGTAACGGTGTTCCAGGAACAATATCAGTTGTCTTTGGACGTCCTTGGCGAACGGCAGCTTTGATGATATTCATACTTCCATTCTTTTCCAGCTGATCAACCACATCATCACGCATTTGTTTAAGCTCGAAAAAGCTTTCCTTGTCAGCGCTTATGAGAAGCACTGCAACTTCATCTTCCGTTTTGCCTTTCTTGTTCTCAGAGTTATTATTTTTAACACGTTCGCCTTTTTCCACGCTCAAAAAGCTCACGTACATATAGAGGTATCCCCTATTATTAAATCCTGGGAGACATAGAGGAATCCAATTCTCGCCACCTCCACCTCGGACCCCGCCAGCTTCGAAGAGCATATTGAATATGAGTTGGAGGTCACTAGGATGTAATGAATGCCGCTTAGGACGTATCACACTCACAAGCCTACCACCGGCTACTATCAACCCGTAAAGAAGCTTGTCAGTTCGTGCCTTTAGAAGCGTATTGTTTATAACATGTCGTTGTGATTTTCGCAATTTTAAACATTCTAATGCAGATAATAAAGCAGATGGGGAGCCTTTAGTAAAAGTGTCTGCAAGTGATGATAGTAATGATTCAGTTCCCTCCAGAGGTCTGCGGAGGTCTGTATTCGGTCGATTCGAAAACAAATGTGTAAGAGTTGGTAGAGTCAAGGTTGATAGGATTTGCATATATAGAGCCTCAAGCTGGCCTTTCAACTGAGCATCGCTTTCGCCAAGTTTGCTGATAGCAACAAAGTATAGAGGTCCGTCAGTTGAGATAACAAATCTTGTACGACCTGCAGTAAATCCCGTTAAAGGATCTTTTGAACCCTCGAAGAATGATATAATTGTTTGAATGATTCCAATATAGCCATTGATGAGATTTTGATCTCCGTGCCGACTATATATGGGTTTTCCAGCGGAAGAGAGAATCAAATAATGCTTGAGTTTTGACTTCCATTGTATGAGTAGTTCCTCTTCGTTTCCACCCTTGCTATCAACTTCCCCTATTTCATCGAATTCACGATCGAAGTTTGTAAGAGAGATATCCTCAAATTCCACTGTCTCATCAATTTGTTCCCCATGATCTGCCTGTGAATTTAATAATACCCATGCCGGGCTCTGCGCATTAAGTCCATCGTCAAGTAGACTTGCAAGGTCTCCATTTGCTTTCAAGGTTGGCGCACAGCTCATAAGGCTGGCATTATCATCGTTGTCACTTCCTTCCAGACTTTTTTTCTTGCTTGTTGAGGAAACCGATGAAGTGGTACCATGCCCAGGGTTTGCTTCTGATGCTGATCGACTAACTGGCGTAGAGAAAGTACCTCTGGTGCCATCGGGAAACGATAACGTCTGTATCTCGACTGACGATAATGCCGTGGTAGGTTTAGACTGCAATGCCGGTCGCATTGGACCCCCTGAGGTTTTTGGATGTTCTGCGACTTGGGACAATGAAGGTCTGGGCGGCAAAGGCGGCCTTCGCTCCTCTGTATCATCATCTGAGAGATCATCTTTGGCTGTGACAACCTCGGAGGCTTCCATGTCGAGAGTCTTCTTCATGACATTTTCGGGGACATCATTATTGATGCCCTTCTGGGCCTGAGATTCATCTTCGCCGTTCATCGCATCAGTCGCAACATCATTGACCGTCGCTTTCGCAGACGGGGATCCCTCATTTGTTGCAAGTGCTCGTTCATGGGGAGCTGCATCCGAGAGGTCAGGAGAAACTCCCATGAGGTCCCTGCGGGGGAAGGGATGTTTTAACTAATGGCAAACTCACAATAATTTTGAAACCTTTTCGTTACAGCACATTCCTTATGCTGTACTTACAATGATGACCTAGCAAATTGCAGGAATGGGAGTGAGTTCTCATGGACCTCTCGATATTACAAGGATATTTTAAGGCTGTGGTTTTATGCACGCGGGGCTGGAGCCACTGAAGAATTAGCGACAACCTGTCAGCCTTGGGAATTTCACCAGCACAACTCAGTTGAAAGAAGCCACGCGTACGTCATGAATTCATGAATTGAATGCGAACAACAACAATCAAAAGATGCAAATCATCTCTGAATCTATTTTTGTGAAGTGCCACAAGAATCATGGCCCTTGAGCCCAGCTCTGGCCGTAAGTCGGTATCTCCTGCGAGCTCAGGAAGAGCATCACCAGTTTCAAGAAAATGGAGGAACCAGTTAGGTGGAGGTAGAGCTCCCATCTCTTATATTTTACATGGCAGAACTGACTATTTAACAGACGAACTTCCGAACAAAGACAAAGCATTCCGCAGATATGCATCTGGTGTCGATCGTTCACTCTCGCTGTTTGACACAGCCTTACAGGAATGGGCGGATTACATTTCTTTTTTGGGGAGGCTATTGAAGGTGTGTGGTCTTAAGAATGTGAATAAAAGGAATATACTGAGACAATATTTATAGTCGTTACAAGCCCATCCTACCAATATAGCTGCTGTCCCGTCTAAAGCAATTGTCGCAAAACGTCTTGCTCAATGTTTAAATCCTTCACTACCTTCAGGTGTACACCAAAAAGCTCTTGAAGTTTATGGATATATCTTTTCAATGATCGGAACAGATGAATTGTCTAAAGATTTACCCCTTTACCTACCGGGGTTGTCTACCACTTTGTCATTTGCATCCCTTTCTGTGAGAGGGCCATTCCTTGAACTTCTAGAAAAGCATATACTCAGGGTTGATGGACGATCACTACGACCAGCTTTGAAGGCAATTATCCTTGCTTTACTGCCTGGTCTTGAGGAGGAAAATAGTGATGAGTTTGAACGCACATTGAAGTTACTTGATGGTTTCAAACATGCTGTCAGACCTTCTGGCACTGAAGATTTGGGGCAAAATCACAGTAGTGGGGACGAATATTTCTGGCAGTGCTTCTTTCTCGCTGCAATAACGAGTAATGGTCGTCGATTGGGAGCATTGGCCTATCTCAATCGCAATCTCCCGACACTCGGGCAGTCGCTTTCCGAGCAAAGCACTTCATCATCCAATGGGCCTCATAATGATGTGACTACGAATCAATCTCAATTGGCTGAAATTGTTACTTCTCCTGAGCCTGGCTTGCTTTTACGATGTTTTGCTGCTGGCTTAGGTGATGAGCAAATCTTAATTCAGCGTGGATTTTTAGATCTCCTTGTCACTCATTTACCTCTACATTCGAATGTTTTACAACAGCGAGTCAAACCAGAAGACCTCGAGCTTCTTGTCAGCGCCGCGGCAGGGGTTGTGACTCGACGTGATATGAGCTTGAATCGACGTCTATGGACGTGGCTTTTAGGACCTGAGCCAGCTGGTCATGACAACGAGAATGGTCCAGAATCCCCAACATCGCTTACTGGAGATCATCTCGGGTTACACGCTTCTTCAAGGACACAATACTTCGAGAATTATGGTCTTCATCCACTTACGCAAGCTTTGCTTAAATTAATCCGACGGGAGGCTATCAACCCTATTGAAAAGGCCCGACCGTTCCGGATATGTCTTTCTTTAATGGACCGATGGGAGATTGGTGGACTTGTCGTTCCGGACATATTCCTATCTGTTGTCACTAGCGTCAGAGAGTATAAGAGTAAGGCAGCGAACAAAGCCGACTTTGCCGAAGTTCTTCGAAGTGCTAGCGTCTTTTTTGATGGGGTCGAAAGTGGTCTGATTTGGGGTGAAATTGTTGGGCTGATTGCACAAGCATTGGCTCCTGGAAAGCTATCAACCGAGGAGCAGATTGATAAATTGTCCCTCGTTACCTTTATAATCAACCACTTCAATGTACGAGAAGAAGAAATGCTGCTGATACACGCTCCATTAGCAACTTTGACAATATTAAGTATACTGGAAGATGCTAAGGAAAGGACGCAGGAGCGCGCAGAAACGGTCGGTGTCGCGAGTGAAGTTGAAAGATTAGCCTTAAACCTTGTTATGGATTTAAGCGATCTTATTCCAGAACGGGCCTTTCAACTGCGGCCTCCCACTGGCCAGTCAATGGCCAAACATGATGACGACGAATTCAGACACCTCTCGAATACCGAAATAATACGTAATATGAAAACATTCTATGTTCAAGAGCAAGGGAATTTAGATGCATTTCCCCCACCATTCTCAGCTCGTGATCTAAGCGAATTGCTCGTCCGCGAAAGTGGTAGCATAGCTAACGAGAGTTTGTCAAGTTCAGTGTCAAGTGCTGATGCTGGCGCTAAGACCAGGCTCCTTGTCATGCTACTCGCTAAACTGCCCAAGGTTAGGAGCCTTGATGTCTCGGGACTGCTAAAGTCTATGCAAAGCAAATTGAGCATACCATCTCAACTTCCATTCATTGCATTCACGTCTATCATGTCTCTTTGTACGAGTCTTTACTCAAATCATTACATCTCATTGCCACAGCTATCCAGTCTAGTAGATCCTCTCGTTCGCTTAGCTTGGTCATATCTTTCTGCTACTCATCCGAAGTACCATGTCGAGACCGTTCGAAGTCTTTGGCAATTACAGACAACACTCACACTCGATAACCACGACATTGAAGCCTCGATATGTAATTTAATGATAGAGTATGACTTAAATGGCACATATGCGTCTCGGGATGCTGATCATGGGCGGAGCTTTAGCATTTTGTGGACCCATTCTCTACAAGATAATGTCGGTCACCTTGACCGTAGAAGCTCGAACAATGATATCAAGAGTATACCTCGACTTTCTGGTATTGGCAATTATGAAGTTATGCTTGCGAGACCTCTCTTCCTTTTACTTGATGCGCTTGTTGATGAACGAACGCAACTTTTCATGACCGTCAGAATTTGGCTGCAGAGTCTCGTTGGTATTGACAGGTATGTGTAGTTTTGGTACCACAATAGAAATTTTGCTGACTGTAACATAGGTTATTTCATATTTTTGTCGCAAAGTTCTCGAGCTATAGTTTTCTTTACACAAATTTTGAAGATGCTGGGACCACGGCGCATCACAACATGCGTATCTATACAGATGAAGATGACCTAGATCAATGTCTGTATCATCTCCAAACACTGTCTAATGTATTGCGATGGTCTTCGGATACTACTTGGGCGGCACTTGCTCATAATAGCATTTCTACAGACAGATCTCATCGCTCTCTATTTCAAATCAGTAAGTTTTGTTCATTATTTATTGTTCCTGTGCTGACAATATTATAGCTGGTCGGGATGAAGAAATTACGCTCTTGGAATTCTTTCTACATGTGTGCTTGCAAGCAATATCGGGGACCTATGAACCGGACAACTCGGAACGAAAACCACATATCCATCAGTTCCATCGTACTGCTCTAACTCTCCTACATCAAATTTTATTGAGCCCATACTCTTTATCGTTAGGCGAGCTGCAGTTGGAGCATGTTTTGATCCAGAGACTAAGCCACTCTTTAACTGGTGCCGATCCCTTCATTCAGGTTCTGCTCCTCGATGTGGTCTATGCTGCTTTAAAGATTCGACCCGTTATCAACCCCCCACCACCGTCGCCTACTCTCAAAAAGCGCTCTACCACTATGACCTCCACTATGACTCACCATGACAACGCGTCCGTTTCTTCACTCGGAATTGACCAGGGTGAACACACAGGACCCTTCTTACCTCCTCCGCCACCGTCACTAGTGAAGTGCTTGCAGGCAGGGTTTGAGGCTGCTTCGAGTAGGCCGGTTCTGGATAGTTGGGTCAGCTTTTTGACGGAATGTCTACCATTCTATTCCGAAACAATTTTCCAAATCCTTATACCACTAGTCGGAACTCTTTGCGCACAGATTGAACAAACTTTTACTAATCTCCAAACCACATTTAAGGAGCCTGGTATGGCGTCTGAGGGCTTTGCGGCTCCTGAATCCACGTTGATATCTCTCCTCAACGGACTTGAGTTTGTGCTTGCGAAGGGGCATGACCGATTACTGAAAGATGAGACGAAGGCACCTATTGCCAAAAGTCCCGATCAACCACAAGGATTTTTTGGAAACATGGTCTCCGGCGTCTTCAACTCGGAGACACCACAAGCAAGAAGCATAACTGCCAATAACCGGCTGACTGTACTGCTCTCATTCCAAGATGCTGTTCGAATTTGCTTCCTCATTTGGTCATGGGGTGGCCAAGATGGAGCTCAGGATAGTGAATCCACTGCATCCTTCAATTACACCTCTCTGCGCATGCGGAACCGCGCCCGAAGACTTCTTGAACATCTTTTCACAGCTGAGGCACTAGAATGCTTGGAGACATTGGTTGAAATTGGGAAAAAGTCTTCCAATGATAACGACCCACGACCTATTATTATCTTCAATCTTCTTCATGTTCTTGACGGCTCAAGACCAAAGCATACAATTCCTGCAATTTTCAATGCTATTTATAGTCGGACGAACCCAAATGCCCTGGATCCATCAAGGAAGTCGACTTTGACATCCCCGTTGAGCGATACAGACTTGGTGACATTTTTAGTGGAATATGCAAGATCGTTAGAGGATGATGCCATGGATGAAATTTGGGTGGATTGTATGACTTTTCTCAAAGATCTATTGGCAAATCCATTTCCACATCGACAAACGCTCCCTAGTCTTCTGGAATTTGCCGCCATTTTAGGTGTGAAGGTTGACAATACCAATTTTGGAGAGCAGCGTCGAATGCGAAGAGAATTGGGAGTAAGTAGGGATCAATGATTGATGTGATAAGAACTAACTTGAGCCAGGATCTATTCCTCCGACTACTTACTGCAATGTTCACTACTAGACCTATGGGATTCTCTGAAAGTGTAGAGAAGCTGACAGAGTTCGATCAGCGGTCTTCTTCATCTCGTTCTTCACCAAGGTCCGACGATGTCGTTAGGATTCTAGCATCTATTGCGCCAAATCTACCTAAAGTGCTTGTCGAAAATGATCGAATACTGAATGCGGCGAATACCATCTCATCGAGTGTCATTGGACCAACATTTAAGTCCAGATCCTTTCCAGATAATGTTTCTAAGAGTACTTTAGAACTACTATATCAGCTTTCCAGGCTTCCTAACACGCAAAAATCATGGCGAAAGGATCTTGGTGACGCATTCAACGATTCTCGCTTCTTCGCAAATAACATCAATCTCGTTGAAAGTGATTGGCTGCCATTACTCAGGCAATGGACCTTGAGCGACAAAGAACGAATGCCAGAATTTTTGTCACGACTAGTCGCTCCTTCTACAGCTGGTATTGTGTTTGGTGTAGGAGCAACATCAGCGCGCTTTGAGGCGGATAGAAAATCTCAACTCAATCTCCGCCGAATAGCTACCCTAGTTCTAGCCACCATGGACGATAATTTCGTGACTGACCTTCCTCTTATTCAAGAGAAGATTGTTGAACTACTTTCCGCAACTACAACATCCTCTCCTTCCTCAACTACTCGCGCAGATATCTATCTTCTTCTCCGTGCTCTCGTTCTCAAGACTTCGGCTATTCATCTCGCAACCCTCTGGCCCATAATTAACGCCGAACTCCACGTTGCCATCTCATCGGTTGTAGCACCTGATCATAGTACCCCTTCTGACACTTATAACAATTACTCTATCCTACAAGCATGTAAGTTACTAGACACTTTACTCTGTATTGCACCCGACGATTTTCAATTACACGAATGGCTTTTCATAACCGACACTATTGATGCCGTCTATCGACCCTCTTCATTCCGACCCGTTTCTTTAGTCGACGAATTGAGTGAAGAATTGGGTTTAGCGGCAACCACCAATACAGCTGCATTACAAGAATCCTCTTCAGTTGCAGTTTCACAGGCAGGTAAATATTCTATGAGGAGGCCTCTATGGGAAGAATGAAAGGTGGATTTGGAATTAATGATGAAGGAACTTGGGAGAGGAAAGACGAATTGGTGGCGAAGGTTTTGAGACCATTCTTTAGCCAATTGAGCATTTTCGCTTTTGAAAAGTACGTATGGTATGGGAGCAACGGATTGGGAGGCTTGTAGGCAAGGGCTGCTGAGAGATCTTTTTGATGAGAGGACTATTGTTAAGGCGTTGTGATAACTGATGGGGATGAGAGGAGGTTTGATTAGTTCGTGACAAGGGGAAACTAGGTCATAGAAGTGGGCAAGGCTAGAAAAAATGTTTGATAGATGAGAATGCTAGATGAGAATTGTGGAGGGTGATGTCACATCTAGGGGCATACAGGATTGTTTTGTTTGTTGGGGAAGAGGCGGGCTTATGATATGATTTGATGAGTGGGTTGGTGGTTAGGTGGTTTTTGATTCAAAACAGCTATGCAAAATGCAAAGAAAAAATACAAAACAATTTCCTCATATTCATGTCCTATCATAATCAGTGATGGGAGTAGTGTGAATTAGTAATACGATGGCTGATATTGAAGCACTGTATATTACTGTAATACATTTAATTTATAGAAGGAAAAAAAATTCAAATAATTAAGGAATTATTAAAAGATGGTTTGATGGTTTTGTAATCAGAGTATAGGATGTAAGATGTGAGAGTGTGAGGGTTTGAGGATTCGAAATGATGGTTTTAGGTAGTGGTTGACTGGGGATGGAAAGGGGTAGGGAAGGGGGGTGAGAGAGGTTTTTGGGGGGTGAGAGAGGCTTTGTAGTGGGTAGGTGCATAGACAGGTAGGTGGATAGATAGGTATTTACTCATTGATATGGGTAAGATAGGACATAAATTAAAGAGTAGGAAGGGTAAGTATTTATATCTTGTTAATATACTATATTACAGCTAGATTTTCGAACTCCTCAAATTGAAATGGGTAATTGGTGAAGTGAAGAAAACGAAGTAAAGAAACTGGAGAGATCTGGACCTGGTCTTGTTTTCAACTCATTCCACATCATCAACGTCAAGTAAGGTATTCTTGCTATATCTAACGGAAGATTAAATGATGTTTGTCTGCGGAATTGCTCTCAATTTCGAATTCTCAACTTTTAAGACGGGGAGAGAGAGATACTTGATTGCGATGTAGCAGATATCAGCTATTTGTATTGAGCAATATATGGATGTAAATAATACAAAAGAACACATAAAAGTTGGAAAAGAAAATTGAAATGTGACAATACAGTCAGGATATCCCGTACTTCTCATCAGCGCGGTGCGGACTATTACAATGCTTTATCCATTGCACTTTTGGAGTATATAATTATAACGATTTTAATAATCAAGATTCAAAATAACACCAAATAAATACTCTGAAACTAACGGCGGTTGGGGTGATCTCAGGAAGATAGATATATACGCGTCATCTTGCCTCACATTTCAACTCTGGCTCATAGCAGGATTGGCCAGCGATGAACTTTAGGGCATGAAGTAGACGGGAGAAATGCTGTGCCAATTGTGGTAATGATTTGACGGCTCTACGTGGTAGATGTCTCTTACAGCTTTCCAAGGAATGACATGTTATATCTATCTATCTATTAGAATGGGAAGAAGTGTGTGATATGTCATGAAGTGCTCTATGCACACAGCAACTCTTTGCCCCTTCTTGGAAAGATAGACGCATCGACGGAAGAATCTACTATGCAGAGAACTAACAGTTTATTTAACTTGTCTTCTTGGAGGACACAAAAGTACCCTAACAATGGACACATTCTTCTTCAACTTATCTTTCTCTCCGGAAACAAATTTGAATATTAGTTATGAAATCTGTGAGAGTAGAGATCATCCATCTGCTCAAGGAGGCTCAAGGCGTGGGTAAAGTCCGAAATACAGTCAAGATGCAAGTGAGCTCAGAACGGGACGACTGAGGTGATCATGGCTTAATGTGATGTAGTTTATATGATGAGGTATGAATCGCTTTGAGCAGTAACTCAAGGGGGGTAAACTCAGATCAAGAATGGATAGAGGCACGAGCGCAAATAGCAAGTAGCAAATAGCAATGACGGTGACAACAGACTATCTATCACCTCTCACCAAACCATAAACTCGTAAACTTGCTCATATACCTGTCACACGCCCTCACCTAATTCTGTAAAGATTGACCCAAACGCCTTGTTATACCCACCTAATCCAACATCTAAGAGACAACAAATAGGGATGACATCGTAGCCTCCCAACAATCAGGATATCCACTATCCTCCCAATGAATTTTGAAATAGAAACTTTATTATCGCTGCACCGATGAATCATCGGGAATACTGCGCTCAAACTTCACAGAGAATAACTTCAGAAGTTCAATTTCATGAGCCCCACCAGAGGCTTGTAAGTTCCAGTTTGGAAATTGCTCATCTCATTCCATAAACCTTCTAGAAGCTTTTCATCCTTAATTTGGAAGCGAAAATTTCAAATGAGGAAATGAAGAGCTTCACCTCCATCCCACCATTGATGAAATTTGCTGACTAGGACTAAAACAGCTTTGCACAACATAACCAAGGGATTTAACAAACAAAATGTGAAGTAATGTAATTTCCCAAGGCGGAAACCAAACTGGAGTCTCACGCACTGGCCATGAGAACGTTTGTTTTCTCATCATGAAGCAATTGCTAGGTATGCAGCTTCTCCATCACAGATTCACACCCATACCATACCGTACATCAATCTAGCCTCGCAGTCAACCGTGTGAAGATTTCGTATCTCCCCTGTAAGAGTGACTTGTGGTCGGCGAGGTTGCAACGTGAGTTGTCTGGAACCCGGTCCACTTATCCTACATGCACATCGCATCTCTCCTCTCCTGCTACCCACGCCTGTACGATCTATACGGAGTGCATTAAAGACCCCAACTAAATAAATTGATATGCTGGTGTCCACATGGGCAATGAGAACGAATATCCACAGGCGTGTGGAGTGCTGATATGCAATCACACATCAATCAAAAACCACCACACCGGGTACGAAAATATCATATGACAGCACTGATAACCTCAACCTCGCAGGTTACAACATGTCTCGTAGTCACGAGGTCATCTCATCACAAACACAATACCAAGCAAGCATACAAAGGACACATGGGTCGGCGGAATCTTCGGTACAACATCCATTAAGCTTCATCGACATCCCTTCTGTAATCCACTTGCATTTCCAAAAGAGAGAGATCGACATCAATCTCACCATTTCCGGCAAAGTGTCAACAGGAACAAGGGGGTGAGACATTACTCTTTTCTTCTTTCAATCCTTGATACATGCCCAAAGGAAACCTACAATAAGGCATCCGGAAAATATGGGGGAAACTAAGCTAAAACCGCACGGCTGAAGCCACGAGTCGCTCAGCCGCTGAGCGATTAACGACTACTCTGTAAAACGACTCGTGGCTAACCTTTCGCACGTCTTTTCTGCTCACGCTTACTCTCGCAATCATTAGTATAGGAGAAATAATATAATGCCAACTTCCCAAGCAAGAAAGGCGGAGAGCTCGATACCCACAGTTTCCCAGTATGACCCAAAGAAACTGATGAAACAAAATCGGTAATCTTAATTTGGTCTTGGGAGCAGGGATGCATTTTCTTTATGGGAAAGATTGGGTGGAAAAGGGAGAAGCTGAGGCCCCCATCTTCATATTAGCAGTGCGCACACTCTTCGGCATTTGGACTTTTGGGATCGAAATGGAGACGCTATCCTACACTATGGAACTAAACAAGCAAATGAATGAATAGCAAGAAAGGAAAGGAGGATTTTAGGAACAGTAAAGAATGGGGCCAGGATGACAGGCATCTGATAAAGAGACTACATTAGGACGACCTGGACCAGGGCCAGGACCCAGGAAATGTGTTGATCTTCATAACTTCATACTCGGCGTTGTCGCTGGCGTTCACGCTGGAGCTGGCTTTGACATGGGATAGATGCAAAAGGGGTGCTGGCCCTTGGGATTCGGAAATTTTTTTGTAGCTGCAATGATGAGCCCAAGGATAGGGCAAATCCTTTAAATTGACAACAGCATCGTTGTGCGTGCGTGCGTGCAGGCATGCATGCAGGTGTGAATGAGATTACCATGTTGATTTTGGGAATTGTCCAATACGCTGTTGCATGGTACGGGAAATATCCTGGGAGATGTATGTTGACATGTTGTAATCTTAGCACAATCTTGGTTCGAAAGTTAGGTTGATATATTCGAGTTCAGATAGGAGTAGAGATTTTACAAAACTGGATTGTAATGATGACAATAGTTGTTCTGAACGAAAATACACTTTACTAGCTGAATCTTGAACAAAGAATAATGAATGATAACAAAAAGACAGTCCAGTCAGTGTAGAGTCTCGACTCAACTGCCGTGCCGTGTCTCTGTACCTAGTAAAAGATAGCTATGACCTCTCGAGTCTTGATCTAATTCGTAAAATTGTATCTGCAGGGTGGGCAGAAGACATATCCCCAGCTCCATATTTAGATAAAGTTGGATCTGCGCATTACTGTATTGGGAAAGAGGTTGCCCCGCGAAAGGGTAGACTGATGGCTGGGTTATTTCCATTTGTTACCGGACCAGAAGGAGATTGATATTATATAGCCAATTAGCAGATGTGAAGGGTGGGAGTATGCTGGTGGAATACCGATCCAGAGTAGTGGTTCGGCCTCTTCAGGTTATATCGATTCGATTCGATAGTACTATCTATCCATTCATCCGAGTTAGGATTTCGAGGAACCCCCGCATGTTTTTTCTTTACCAATTACTAATTACCAGTTGTCCTTACACAATCCTAACATGTACCCCCTCAAACTCAATTTTCACCCCATGGTTACTACTATCACGGTTCGCTCGTCGCTCGTCCACCCCCATCTAATTCGCCATTTTCCCGTCCTCGAAACGCCTCATTTTCCGGCTTCCACTGATCCGTCCCCACACCCATTGGCCAGGGCTCTCTCAATTCAATAGTGGCCGTTTCTAATCAACAAGAAAAAAGATACAATCATTGCGGCTAACGCCAACTTAACAGCCGCTAACGAATGGGCGAGTCATGGCTCAAACTTTGTTGCAAGCAGTACGAAGCATTGTCAAGGAAAATGCCTAGGTCGTTCACGCTCTGTTCTATTAGCATCCCTGCTTGACATTTACTACTCAGACAATGGGTTTATTCCTATCGATGTTTTGTGGGCAGATGGCCTAAAGCTCTTGAAAAAAATGTGTAATGATAATTCTAAAATAATCTAGCTACTGAATCTCATTTTCTACCTGGTGCCTTCTTGGAAACCGCTACATAGTTAGTCAACATACAGATTTCCGCCACCCCGCCACCCCGCCGTTTCAATCTGGACAACCTCGCATCATTAGTTTTTACACTGCCAGGGCCAGATAAAGTTACTTCCCTCCAAACTTCTCCAGTGTGATGTTTAAGCAACACACACATACAAGTGCAAACAAGGAGATTCTTCTCCTCTTGCATTTCATTGGTTGATGGAGAAAGTAGATTTTTGTGGGGAAAAGGCGGTCCCTAAATCGTTAGTCTTTGGTGAAAGTGAATGAGTGAGTGCATTGCGTGTACAGAAACATAGTAATGTACTAGAGTTAGTACATCACATCACATCACATCACATTACCAGCGGCATGAGAGCAGTAGAAATGTCACAGTACGAGAGGGAAAAGATTTCATCTCACCTCCAACCCCCATTACCCAGGAATCTCGAAGTGCAAATAAGGTAGTATTGAGGCTTACCTCAATAGATTGTGGCTTGCTGACTTACTGGCTCGATGTAACGTACCCAATGCGCTAATACCGGGATATTTGTAGATCCGGGCGGCAGTGTCTCCAGCACATACCGTGAAAAAGGAGAGAACATTAGGAAGATAAGTGGGAAAGGAGTTCAATGCATGAGCAAATCGGAAGGGATAGAGATGTTAGACTGGAATGTAAACAATAGTGGCTTGAGTGGGAATCAGTCCCCCACAAAGTATACGTATGGATTTGTGCACGACAGACAGATAGATAGATATCGATTCAGATTAGGGGAACGAGAATCTTGCATCTTGAGATGATAGACTGATAGACTATCTCGTGACTTAATCCCACTGTCGAAGTATCGAGAATTCAAAATCTATAATTTGTGAGGAGCCAAAAAATCTTGACGCCCCTTCATCCTTCGACTCGGTGCAATCTTCGGCACTTAATTAACCGAATCAATGACAATGATATCGCCGACCAAACGGTCTTTGTGTACTACTTACCCGTTTCGTTTGCAAAATATCAATACCATTATTATATTATCCATACCAGGTGAATCGTTTTTACAAATGTCGCCCGCACTTAGTGTGAAGATAAAAAGTTTATCCTAAACCAATAACTTCTTTGAGTGGCAAGGCAGAAGAATGTAAAATCACGGAATGCGGAAGGTTAGAACCGTCCAATATTTCGCACTAACAATGTCGCACCGGTTTTCCTATACTTGTTTGGAAGTCTTTGAATCGTGAACCAAAATATGGGGCTTACCCTAACGCACCTAAAAATAAAAAAAAGACCAGCAAAAGAAAGGAAAACAGATAAAATAGAGACTGATATCCAAAAAAAAGGTTTCACATAGTATAACAAAGCGTCATCATATTGTTAAAAGTCTACCCAATGAGGATTCAAAAGTTTAACTCTGTCTCCTATATCGTTTGTGATCGTCGTCCCGCCTTGCCGGATGAGAAAGGCTTATTGTAACCTTCATTCCCAAGAAATTATTACGATCATTTTGGGACTGAGGATGATGGATGATGGATGCATAAGGTGAAATATTGAATAGAATTGAATTGCGCATTGACAAAAGATCAAAACAATCCATAAAAATGGCAGACGTTCTTTCCTTGATGTTAGATGTATTATTGACAAGGTGATGCGATGTGATGCGGTATGTGGGTGGTATGCGGTATGTTTATATGGGGGTCTGAGTTTCAATTGGTAAAAATTGAAAGATGGTATATGATAATGTGAGGACTCAAACGAAGCAGACACAACTGTCATACAATAATGACATCGTTGTTGCAGATGTTGGGTATCGAATCTCGATATCAAGTTTTAGCAAAATCATTTCAGCCCGTATTCCCAACCATCCCATTTTCATATTCCCCCCACACACTGACAAAAATTACTTCCGTGCAACGATTTTTTCGATGATTACCAACGGTGCTGCTGGAACTTGATAATGCGACTATTCAAGATGCAGCTAACATCAATTGGTACAGTGGCAAAAATACGCCATGGTGAAAAAAGGGCTTTTTGCTTCTGCGCCGTCTTGATGATTTAGATTAAAAGCAAACTCTTGCCCGTAATTGAAAATAGGATGAACTGCCAAGCATACATACCCTTCGACAACTCGTCTTGATCTAAAAATGGCTTTATGGTGGCTTTTTCTTGATACGACTAGGATTGGGAGATTGAGAATGCTTACTTCTTTTTGATAGTCGAGATGGGGGGAACGAAGAGTAGGAGAAGGTTTGAGGGGTTTCGAAACCCCTTCATTGTGACTCGTTTAATCAACCTCAGGATACATACCTCTATTCTTCATTAATTAAAGCCTCGACGGACTTTTTAGCAAAATTTCAAAAATTCGTAAGAATGATAGGTGTTCCAATTGTTCTCGTACTTGAGCAAGCTTATTGGCGCCACCTACTGCAGAGGCAGCTTTCCCTCGCCCGAAACCTGGTAGAAATGACGATTTCGGGGTCCATCTGATCCTCCTGCGCGCATTGGACATCAAGCCAAGGTGAGGCTAAAGCAAGCCTCAGCAAGGAGATGAATTAGTACGGTACACCGTGCTGTGAAGTGACGGTTGGACACATCCGTTGAAGGATCTAATAAGTTGTACCAGGGTGAGAAAAATGAAATGATAGCATACCCCTTTCATTCTTTCATTCGTTCGAGAGACACATGCCGTCATTATCGAAACAATTAGTTCCATCTTTCATCCATTCTTGCACTTTTCCAAAGAGAAATGCAAAGAAATTAGATCTCAAATAATAATGGAGCACCACGAGATTCTCGAGATATTTAAAGATCATGGAGAGATAACAACAACGAAATTGAATGAATAATTTTCCGATTTCGCAGATTTGAAGATACAAATTGATGAACAGGTGTTGGCCAATGATAGAAACATGTGAGCATTCTTCTCTCCACTTAACTTTTCTCTTTACCTTGTGTGCGAACAGACAATCTTTTCCGCCCGTGCCCGCAAACTAATTAATCCTTTTGAGTACCGTGTTTGAGATTGATAGCACAGTACCGGACAGGTGCAATCTCGAATGGAAGGTAGACAAAGAAGAGGTAGCTACAATCTTTGATAGAAGTAATTTTGTTTTGATAGTTGTAACTCTGAAAGTGTCTAGCTTCATATACAAGATGTAGGTAACCCAGTCACTGGAATCTCCAAAGACAGCGAGTGTAACATACAAATCTTCAAAACTCCGCAATTAGATGTCTCCTTCTAAAATGGTACGGTACCGTACCTGACTTGCAATAAACATACACTACGCTATGGCTGATCAAGACATGTTCAAAATCTAATCAGTTGGTGTTTGTCATACAACTCTGTACTGCCAGCAAATACCAATGTACGATGATGAAAGGTTTGTTGATCAATCAATCAACTCCATCCGAACTCCATATTATTGAACCTTAAGCTGCTACTCCGTACATCCATCCCAGTCGAAGCAGAGAGAAAGGGCGCTCACATTGTCAAAATGCTAATTCCTCATTCGTTGAAAGCCTCACACGAAAGAGGCTTTCATTGGTTGATAGCTGTCTCCCATTTACATCGCTATCCGTCATGTTTCTGAAAGAGGATCAAAGTGCGGTAGGGTTTTGTGAAGTGGATTTACGCTACACATGCATGCTGGGCGTGAATTCCCTACATTAAACCTAAACTCATCGCTAGGAGGAATCCCCACCAGCGACGCGTACCGTCAATTCACCGCATTCTATAAATGACACTGCCGAATGTGAAAATATGTAGGGAGGGAGCAGTGAGCACTCATCAACAATAGAAACACATACCAATTGATATGACCAACAAAACTCGGAAACGATGATGAGGGGAAGCCCTTAAATTGATCTAATTTTGAGACTATTTTTATCATGATTCGGCTAGTTTTTTTGGGTTCTTTTTTCTTTTTTTCTCTTAATTTTCTAGTAGTTCGCCTGCAGTTCGCCTACTCTGTACATTGATTTGGTTTCCAGTTTTCTTGGGACCCCTTCGAGTAAGGTTCATATATAATATGTACTTTAAGACAAAAGAAGTATTAATTTCACAATGTATACTTGGGCTCGTCTGCCCAGCACTCAAAGAGTGTCTAATTCGATTGGCTCTACTCCCAACTTGCTCACTAGAGGACTAATAAGTTATCCTCCTGCTTCCTTCTTTGTTGACATAATATGTTTACCATCTAACCCTCCAATTTGACCATGACCCACATCACACAAAGTTTGGAGACTAGCACGCGGGAATAAATTTTCTCCTCCAAGTTTTTATTGATCGGGATTAAAATGATGGTTTGAATAGTAAATAGTAATAATAATAATAATAATAAAATAAAAAGCTCAGGGTACACATAGCGATTGTTTCAATCCTTGCTCGTCCCTTGTCCCTGTTCTCTGCAAGATACATCATAGGAAATGCAGGCTAATGCTTCAACCCTATCTAGGTAAAACTGTGGAGTACTAAAAGGAAAAACTAGTTTTCAAGTATTTTAGTTCGACTCTTAACTAATTCTCAACTAGATCAACTTGGACCCTCCTTCAAAAAGGGCCCCTCTCTTCTCACTCTCCCCCCGGTGTGATCGTCCACATACTTTCCTATTTCCTCATTCTACACAAATGGGAAAAGGACAAACAGACAGGACTACTCATGATTCTCCATTTTATCATTGTTTCCAAGTATCTCTCTGGATGTGGATTACCTCAAGCGTTTCGTACCTTTTACATAGAATATCCTCCCAAGTATTTCTTCCAATCCCTTTCTCCAAACCGCTATCCTATGATCATAGCCTCTTTAAACCTTTACTACTTTCCCCAAGGAAAGTAATGAGCCGTCCATCAATAACTCTTTTTATATCCCAACATTCAATAGACACACACATCCCAGGGCCAGACAGCTGGGTATTGCAGCATCATTGCCTCATTCGAATTGACGTCTTCCCCACGCATACCTTCGTGGATCAATAGCACTGCCGAAGATCTGACAGCTTGCTCTGATTCTCGAAACTCGTCAAGTGGGACTTGTCTGATGAGCTTATTACCTCTCAAGGGAAAAAAGACACAGACAATTGTCCTTGGATTGACCCGCTCACCGCATTTACCTCTAGCCTCTCTCTCCTCCACAAAGAAGGCAAGACCAAGTACCAAGTACCCAGCGGAACATAAAAAGAAGCAGGGAAAGATATCATCTGTCGATCCCTTCTGAAGAGATTCAAGTGCAGGTTTCGCCCCGCTCTGAGAGGTCTACCTATCACCCACCCATCACCTACCTACCTATCCCCCGAGCAGCGTAGTGCACACGATATTCTTATGCAGCACCCCTCCCTAAGGTTTGCGACTACAAGCATCTATTCACAAGCATCCTCGACCAGACTAAATCTCCAATTCTCCAATTATCGAAAGCCTTGACTCGACGTTCTTCGTTCTCAAAAGGAAACTACTCATCTCAGTCCTATTCAAGGATTACCCCACCAACCATCATCCTTGAATACTCCTTCCCTTCCATCTTCAAAGCTTTGTCTTCAGCAGACCGAAGCACATAAGTAACGCTGATCCCGCCGGCTGTCACTTCACTGATCGACTCTTCCTTACCTCTTGAACTCTTATTCTATCAACAACATTCGACCATTACGCGGGATCCTGCATCTGATCCACGTTTTATTTCATACTACACTTTTTTTTACCACCAATATAGCATACTCTCTCGGCGTCATCGGTTACTTGGAAGCTTTTTAAACTTTGTTGCAAAAGATGACAATGACAATGGACAACCGACCACCGTTCCAGGGCGGTATGCACTTCAGCAACAACCACCACTTGCCATATGCGAATCCACCACCCATCTCATTCAACAACGTTGCATGGCCAGCAACGACGGCTACCTCTGCAGGCTCGAGCATTTATGCTTCAACTGGTGGTAACGATGCGGGTTTGGGAATTGAGGGGATTGAGAGGCAACCAAATGCACGCTTAAATAATGTATCTACGGGATCGTACAGTATCCCAGTCACTGCGGCATCAGCAGGTAACATCTTTACGGGTTTCTCTGGAGCACAGCAGGATTTACTCACCAGTCAACAAGATATGATGAGCCCCAGCCGTTCCTTACCACCTGGATATGGGAGCGATTCCGGGTATAACAGCGCACCATCGCCCGCTCATACTACTTACACCTCTGCGCCGTCGCCATATGATGGGATGGGCTACGTCCCGGCACCGCCGCCGGCTGTGCGATCATCGTATCCCATTCAGCAACAGGATCATTCCAGGCGACTCTCACAACCGTCAGTATCTTCAAATCCACTCTTCGATATCCCTGCCGATGCGCCGCGGTCCCACCGTCAGAATTCACTTATTGACTTTAATGACAGAGGATTACCAAATAATGATAATGCCGGATTTTCACGGGACTCAACACTCGATGGCGCAAGGGGCATGCTTGCCATGAGTCAAAACACCACACCCAGAAATATTTATGGAGGTCCTCCACGACTTGGCAGAGGATCTGGCGATTCATACGGTTTCCCCGCAACACATTCGTCAAATTCATCTATCTCTTCCGCAAGCACGTCCTACCCATATTACGGCTCAGTTGATTCTTCAGTTTCCGATTACTCGAATGGTTCTGACATCGAATCGGTGTCAGCGAGGACATTACCTCCACCGGGTGGTATTCTTGGTGGTGGAATTCCTCCTGCACCTCAATCAATGATGGGTCAATTCAGCTCAAAGGTATCTTCAAGTACACTTAAGAAGCACAAATGCAAGATCTGCGAGAAACGATTTACGCGACCAAGTTCTTTGCAAACACACATGTACAGTCATACTGGGGAGAAGCGTAAGTTATCCCACTTAGATGTCACCATGGTTCTAAATCTAACTGAAAATAGCATTCCCTTGCGATTATGAAGGTTGCGGCAGACATTTCTCAGTCGTTTCCAACTTGCGAAGACATAAGAAAGTACACAAGGGCGACGCAAGATCGGAAGCTGGTTCCGAAGACCATCAATCGCCAGAATAAATTTTTACACCTTTGACTTTGTACACTATCTATCACACCCATTACGCTCTGTTCATATCACTTCTTTCACGAACATAGACGACCACAAAGATAATTGGTCAAGAAAAAAAGACTCGACGCAAAATTGTTCGGCATCGGGTCTCTTGCATCATTTCGATATACCATTTTTTATAAAAAGTGTGTTACGGAGAAGCCGTTCTTCGTGTGACTATCAATTTGCGACTCTTATCGATTTGGGCACCCTTTTTTATACACTTTTCAATTTCGGGGACGGGCGCACTTCATTTGATCAATGGCGGAAACCTTATTTTCACTTCTTATCCGATCGTTATACGGCCCTCCTATACATTTTACCTCTGGAAGTTATGCCTAATACCGTTATCTTTGGTTTTTGGAGGCTCAACACTTTTGCTGCCGAGTATGCAGAAGAATAAATGTGTTTTTACGGATGGCGTTGAAAAGGGTGTTTTTATCTTTTCGGGATTTTTGCATGTAACTTTGTCAGGGCATCACCACGGGGTTTTCCATTAGGCACGTACACTTCGGACGTGCCGTGTATTGCTGTATTATTAGTTTGTGAGGTTACTTCTTCCATTCGTTCAATCATTATACCCACCTTTGAAAGAAGGACTGCATTTTTTTTATTTTAATTAGGATGGATGGACGGATGGATGGATGGTTGGACAGCGGGTGGATAGGGATAGGTTTAGATGGATGGCTGTATAGCTTGAGCGGGATGGATGGATGGATGGTTGGACCATAGCATGGATTCAAAGGTCTATACATACAGTCACTACGAGCATGGAAAGTAATATCACGAATGAACCATCAAATACCAATAAATGGCCTTTTACTAGGTAGTACCACGTCCAGTGGCGATATGAATTGTGAATGGAATCTCGATTAACGGGGCCAGAAGCTCCGACAAAAATCAATGCGATACAATTGATTCAATGCATAAGTCTTAATTGAATCTCAATCTGAATCTCAATTTGAATCTTACTAGGGATATAATCTGAATCCGGTACTTTCTCCTTTACCTTCTTTCATTATTATCACATATACATATTTACATACAATATTACCATCACATATTATCTCTCTCACACTCATCTCATTAAACCAATATTATGAATCTATTTTTCGGAGGCGATTAACAGCTCCGCTCCGCTTCGTAAGTCCCTGATTCAAATTTGTTCGCTTCGCTTCTTGATATTATATTTATATATGTCTTATATGTCTTATATCTGAAGTCTGAAAGTCTGAGGCCTGAAAGTCTGAAGTCTGAAAGTCTCAACCCTATGTGTAGGTAGCTAGCTAGCTAGTAGATACACCAATCCTAACGGTTATATATGCAATATGCAATATGTCAATATGTATGTGGAAAGCTTGGAAAGCTTGAACTCTAAAAGCTTACCCTGATTAAGCTCGAGTAGGTACTCTAGGTAAAGTGAATAAATAGTAACATGCATCCTACCTCTCTACCTCCCCCACCCTACCTTACCTACAAAGCATGAGATTAGATTGGATTGCACTCGAGTAATAAGATATGCTAAGATGGTGTATTCGTGGACACTGAAAATCTTCACTCTTTCTTTACATGATCTACTATGTATGTATGTATGATCGACTGAACTATATCTACAACTACCTAGTATCCTAGTTTGTATGATCATCTGGAATCGGGTGTCAGGGTCCCTAGAGTCTCTGAGTCTCAGAGTCTCAGACAGACTTGTCTGCTGCTTATGTTATGTTATGTATGCTACACTAGGAGGTTTTTTGTTTTTGGTGGTGTGGGAGTTTCTGGGTTTGGTAGGACAAGAAGAGAAGAGGGGGGAGTTTTTTTTCTTTGATGGCTGGCTTTGGGTTGGGTTTGTGTAGGGATGAGGATTGGGTGAGGGATTAGATTTGTAGAAATTTTTTATTATTTACTTGTTTACTGTACGCAGTAGGTAATGTTTTATATTTAAGATTTATTATTTATATCACGTTACCTCGCGACGGTTATGTTTCTTGGGTGATGGAAACTCTATTTTATATACCTACCTACCTGGTAAGTCCTTCCCAAGTAGGTATGTACTATACTGTACTCTATATGGAGTTTGTTTGAAGATAAAGTTCACAGCGGCTGCTAGCAGAATCCACTAATACGAATGTGTGAATGTGAATGTGATGAATATGATGATATGATGAGTGATGAAATGATGAAATCGAAATACATACCTAGGCTAGGTAGGTTAATCTGACGATGAGTTTGACTACCTACCTACATACACATCACGATACCGATGACGAAAGTCACCAACCATACCATCACAAGGAAGCGGTAAGTAAGTAAGTAATTGAGTAAAACTCCCTCCTATCCTAGTACTAAGTACCGTATCGAGCTTTCGCATTTTGATGCAAATTTGGGGGGATGAGGAAATTGGAATAGATGGATGAATGGATGAGTGCCCGCATGAATGAAAATGGATCCTCATCACAAGGTGGGTATCCTAGTCCCAATGACGCAAATGTGCATTGTTCCCTGCGTGTTCTGAAACGTATATTGGGTTGTGTGTTATAGGTTTTGACGGGGGTTTTTGACGAGGGTGTGTGGTTTTGTGCATGGGGGTGCCGGTATGTAGGATAGAGGGTGAGGTTGTTGATGGAGTGGTTGGGTAATGCTGGGTTTTGCTGGATTTTTGATTGGGTGGTGGGACTTTGGGATGTTGGGATGGACGTTGATGGAGGAGCATGGGGGGGTTTGGTTCCTGTGTTTGTTTTGTGTGGAGAGGGGAGAGGGAGAGGGGAGAGGAGATAGGAGGAGAGATAGGAGAGGAGAGAGGACCCTGGATCTTCGGTTACTTTGGATGGACGGGGGTTGGTGGATGGGGTGATGGATAGATGGGTGGATGGATGGGTGGATGGATGGGATTTGTGGGAGCGAGGTGATACAATATTACACAGCCTCATTGAAGCAAGCAAACAAATAACTTCAGGCTGTTCAGGCTGTAACAGAAATGGAGTTTGGGAGGAGTAACAGGGTAGATAGACACACACATACCTAATTCTCGTTTAAATGATTCGTTAAGGAGAAGAAATGCGAGAAACTTCAAAAATTAAGTTTACCAATGGAATCGATAGAGTTCAAGGTTAATTTTACAAAATAATTTATTAAACTTTTACCGCTCTTTAATGGTTTAACCATAATTTTGGTTACCGCTTGCCCCGCCTTCTCACCGTCGTTACGAACTCTCCGGAGGTAGTGGTGAATAGAGTTTCTTGGATTTTGAATTTTCTAGTGATATCTATCTTACGGACTCCGGAGTAAATGAACTTAGCACGATATCGATCCGGCAAAGTTGGCATTGGCACTGCGGTTAGTGGTGAAGAAAATAATCCTCCGCGTATCATCATATCGTCGATTCGTCATCGATTAATCTATCTACTGACGAGATAAGATTTGGGTTCGTTGTGTTTACCGATGCTAATGCGTTATCGGGCCGGCAATGTAGATTTTAGCTGGGAGTTGGGAGATGTTAGATCTCCGGGTATCTAAATGCTGGCTGGGTATTAGATGTCTGGATTATCATATTAGATACATACCATGACTACGATGAACCCTTCATCGATCGACAATCTTTAGTTACCTATCTCGTGCTAATTTTACATACTACATACATTCATACATATACATAATGCTAAGATACCAAGATAATAATATCCCATCTTACATATCTTAATACAAAACGATAGACGAACCTCTGGACCGTGATTCAGACGAGGCCTCGTTTGATGTTAAGATCGAGTACATAATAGACAGACAGGCAGACGGATAGATTTATACATAGCAACAATCTAGATGTAAAGATATAAAATTTGACCGAAAGACACAAAATGAGGTGAGTGAATTATTAGAAGAGGTAAGTAACAGAAATCCGGAACCAACTTGAAAACTCTTGATGGATGGATGGATAATGGGCATCAAAATGTCTAAAACATAATATCATATATCACGTACAATAATCCCGTTGCGACGGATATAGGATTTTAAAAGAAGGGAAATAGAATGTTCCTGTAGAATTTCGAGGTTGATATATAATATCATCTTGATAATACTATTTGTAGGATACTAGACTAGGTATGTATGTGGGTGAAACTCTGGAGCCGAGATTGGGTAACTACCGTTTGGAGATGTTGATAGATGAACGGACTTGGGAATTCTCCACCGAGTTACTCGAGTACTACTCTGTAGGTATGTATGTTTTTGTCAGATTATATTCTACCTAGGTAGGTATAGGTAGGTAATTATAACTCGGTTCCAAAATCTTTCGGGACTTGGAATTGGTGAATTGGAGTTTGAGATTTTTGATTAGATACTTACTTACTTACTGGGTAGGTAGAAAGAATTAAAATATATTAAATGGAAATATACAGATGAATATTTTTAGAAAAGAGAGAGAGATATAATATATAAACTTTTTCACATCTATATATAAGAAAAAGTATTCAAAATATACCCCTTTATCCTATTAAGAGTGACGTTATAAAATAAAACCTTATAGTCTGAACACTAGCTTTATAGCATCTACATCTGAAAGAACACTCTATAGATAAAACGACAACAGGCGCCTCACCCGCCATCATCCCATCTATGCCATGTATTCATCAAGCCATCTATTCCATCCCCCTACACAAATCAAATCAAAAACCGCTCAAAACAGCCTCATCAATGAAACCCTTCTAAAAATGATAAGGCGACACAAAACACTCCGACTTCCTTCCTATTGATTAAAAAAAAAAATCTAAGACTCATGACATAGGTGGCTTCAACTTTTACATGAAATTCTCCTCTCCTTCCCATTCCTCCCTCACCAAATCAACGAATCAATTTGGAAAAGTGGAGGGAGGAAACGTAGTCGCCAAGCCTTATGAATTTTTTCAGGGTCTTGGGGTCCGGTTAAAATGATTGAGTGATGATTGAACGATTGATTGGAAAGGTGGATATATATATATATTACTTCAAAAGGACAATCCGTGGGATGAGAACGGATTGTTATCTTCTTTGGGTAGGTATTATTATTATTCTCTTTTTCTCTTGCGCGTGGTATTTTTGGAGATTATTTGGTCCCAAGAAAAGTTGATTTTGATCCTGGTGATGTGGTTTCAGAGTGAGATAGATCATAGATGAGATAGAGCGATAGATAGACGTCATTATTGCCTAGATGAACAGTTTGAAGTTTGAACATAATAGCAACAGTAGCACAAACTCTATACTAGGATATTTTTACACTTATCCCTATACGGATTAATTCTTCACTCTTCTCCTCTTTTATCTCATTCCTCTTAAACAAAAATCACCAAAACACTATATATATCCTAAACCTCTGAATGCGAATCAAGGCATAGTCAATTCAATTCAAATCTATTCTACCTACCTAGGTAGTCGGTAGTAGGTACCTACCTAGATTGGAAAACCACAAATTACGGTACAAAGGATACCGAGACCAGAGATTGTATCTCCTTACCTAGGTATGTACGGAGAACAAGGATCCGAGCAAGACCATGGATACCGGTCGAACTATTCTGTAAAATGAAAATGGGGCCGTGGGTGGATATCCTCGCGAAACAAAGCTTCGAGAAGAATTCATAGAACGATAAACGAGATTGGGAATTTCCCTTTAACAGGAGTAAATATGTCTTTCTTTCTTTGTTTCTCTATTCCTCTGTTCTTTTCTGGGATAGGGCAGGATGACAGGGTAGGTACAGCGAGAAATTAATCGAGTTTCAGCTTTCGAGCGTGGGTCAGCTAGGCGTAGCTAGGGTTTACTCCGTGTATTTATATCAATACACTCCACTCCACTCTCATCCATCCCAATATATCAATGATTATCCCAGATCGAAATCACTTTTTAAAAGGACGTAGTGCAGCATAATCTAGCGTAGTGTAGGTAGGTTCTAACCTTGACAAGTGATAATTTGGAAAAAATACAGGACCAGGAACAGTCGGGTACAAGATTCGAAAGTTGGAGAGTTGGAGAGTCTTGACACCCGGTAACCTACCGGCGCTAGTAACGTTCCTACGGTAGCTTGCTACGGCACCTAGACTAATAGCTAAATCTGCTTGCGCATGCATGCTGCTCATTGTGAACTACTTTGAGGTAAGATGCATGTTTCAATCTAATCTCCCGGGTGGTGATCACGAACGCTTGTGGTTTGGAACGTCTTGTTTACTTCTTCCGCTTATAATTAGCTATAGCTATAGCCATAGCTCATGAATTCAATTATTGGATATACTAGGTAGGTATGCCATCGTAGTATTCGGAAGGAGTGTAGGAAATTGGGCTGCGGGAGCTGCTTTCTTGTGGATAGTATAGTATAGTATGGATAGTTTGAAACTCCGAAATATCAGTGTATTTCCACGTTTTTGATCATTTTTTCCTCACTTGTGTACTTTTTCTGCATTCTATTCTGCTGTGTCGTTGCTGATTCCATATTCCTGCGTGAACTGTTCGTCTTTGCCCTCAATTATGATGTAAGGATACATATATATGTATGTAGTACATACATAATACATGTCGCTACTATAATATGTTATACAGCACGAAGCGGTGGAATACATATAGTAATGGTGGTGATAGATTATATTCACAATGACGTTTTTCATGTATGCTGCATCTGTTGTATTGCTGTTGTGTTGTCAGTGTTGCACCGCGTAGAGGATCCGGGGATATTGGTGTGGGTATACAGGATGGGTGTATAGGATGCAGCCAAGATGATGAGAGTGTGAACTTTGGTTAGGTGGTGATGTCGTGTTATGTTCACTATATGACTACTGAGTGCATTTGCATCTTCATATGTAGAGGAAAATAGTCTGGGAACTATCTTTTTGTATCGTTCTTAGGCATATAGATGGATAGTACTAGTGTAAAATAAAATCTCAGTTATTTCTATAGTGGCTGTAAGATTATGGATGAAGAAATACCAAGTACATCAAGGCTATGAGATTCATGATTAGTATTTCATATAGATACCTCACACCACTATGAATGCCTTGTCGTTTTACGCAAACGCGCATGAAACAAAACGCATCATTGATCTTCTCCTCAGTTCCTTCCCTCCACCTAATCACCCCGTTTCACTCTCCTTCACCCCCATAATCTTCAATTTCCCCCTTGCACTTCCCCATTTTGAAGCTTCTACATATCCTCAATATCATATATACAAGCACTCCGATACACCGATTCTAACATCCAACGTACCAACCTGTATTATCCACCCACTACGCAAAAAACCAACAATATCAGCCAAAACTCAGCTCTATCAAGTCAATGATCAAGTATCAATGGCTAGAATAAGAAAGGTATAGAACAATACGACGCTAGAAAATGACAGATTGGTCATTCGAATCTTATGAGAAAGAGTTAGGTTCATATGATCACTTGCACAATTAGCGGAAGGACATGAATGTGCTGAATAAGGAGCTTCGGAGGATGATTTTCTATGAGCTTGGAATGTATGGTGGTAGTGATGACGTCTCTATTCTTACATTAACATATGTCCCGGTCATGACATATCGGATATTTTCCAATGACCCCGTATCTATCACTTAAGACGGAAAATATAAAATACTGAGTACATTGGTTCGTAGTTTGCCTAGTTTGATGAGTAGTGAATCATCGTTGCTGCATATTTGTTTTCTGCAATTCTGAGGTTGAATGGAAAAAGCTGAGTTATCTTCCGGGATTTGTGAGAGACAATATTTCTGGATGTATGGCTTGGAGCGAGCAATGCAGGATGATTAAAGACTGAAGAATGCATGTTTAGTTATGTGGTTCGACTGATTGATAGATAGATAGTTGGACGGAATACCTTTAATGCATTGGTGGTGACAATACAATTCGCGTCCTAGGACTCTAATTATCTTAGCTTGAGATGAGCTGAGATGAGGAATATTCACCTACATACGCTTTAAAACCTTTTTGCACATCTAGTTTTGGAAACAACCAGTACTCGTATGTTGTAAAAGGTTCTTCTGTATTATAGGTAGCAAAAGGTCCTGTGCTAAGCCTTCATGTAAGACTTGCAGAAAATATAGTACTCAGTAATGGTATCTTAAGTATAAGTTCCAGATGCGCAGTCCAGGTATCAGATTTATTACCTGGGAAGTTATATGCAAGTTAACTGTACACTACATTTCTATTATACCGCGCGAGCTGTGTCGATTTTTTGCATTTTTCAAGGAGGGAAACATAAATTTTCGTCTCCGTCTTAGTCTTCTCCATCTTCTTGCTTTACTCGGCCAATGTCCTCGTCCTATTCGATACCAATTACATATTAATATTTATGGATATGACAGAAGAGCTGGACTAACACCTTCACGTACACTCCCTAGCAGGACGATCCAAATTCAATCCAATCTTCATCGTCGCACCAGCACTCAGATGCCCGTCACCCTATATATATCGAAAACCAGCTCTACAATATAAAAACTACAAATGACATGGCGGATATAGTACTCAAGAGCCATTTATTTCACATACAGAACCGAAGATTCTAAGATTGGGAATACAAAAAATGGGAGAAGAATAAGAGCTCGCTATTATATGCATTTGCAAATTGGGGCTGCGAAATTGATTGCATTCGTAGGACTGATAGATAATATCGGGACGAATGATATATGTATACCTAGTTATGTGATGGTATGATAGTAGACGTGAATACAAAATAGGTTTCGATGTTGGGTTCTTTTAGTTACTGGAAACGAGAATATTTATGTGGTAGAATAGTATATATGGTTGATCTATACATCTTTCAAAATCGAACGAAATTCAATGCAAATACTCGGATTCTTTTTACTCGTTGCCTCGTTGATAAATAGATTCATTATTGAATAATAACGTTGTAAAGGTATTAGCTGAATGCTATATATGGAACAAATATTGGAATCTCATATATCTCTTGTTTCCTTCTTGCTACTTATTTCATCCATCTCATCCTTTGATATCCTTCCGCTTGCTTATAATACCTTCTAAAGCATCTAATTGATTTCAGTTCGAATCATTGAATAGTCTCGGGAAGATAACCATTAAATCGCCTCGGCACAACGATGATACTCATAATTGTTTATATTGTTCATCTGGATACTTTATTTTTTACCCCATCCCCAATTCACATATGAAATTTCTAGCTACCCCATCTCTAACCCTATTTCCTTCCTCTTCCCAATTTTTTTCTCCCATATTTCAACACAAACCGACATCCACGGGCAATTGCACCCTATTTCCCTATTCTCAACCAACTAACCTCAAACCATCTATCGTTCTAGTAAGCAACCGAACTTCTCTCTCCAATCTATTTTTTAACAATAAAAGCTTCTCTAACATACTTGATACATTAATACCATACTGTACACACGAGAACCATTCAACTCATAGTCTATTGTATTCTCTGCCCGTCCACTCATCACCACCGCTACCCACTTAATATCACAAACCCTTCCCAGCCACAACTTAATCTTCAGTTCAGATCAGATCCTGATGGGTATCCTAATCCAGACTCAGAATCCCACAAACCAGCAAATCCGCATAGCTTCCAATCAACGCAATCCCTTTCCGCACACACTAGCATCGGTCAGACAGACTCAACTTAAAGGGGCATAAACGAAGTAATAATTCGAATAGCAGACTCACTCTCCAGATTCTCAATGTTTCCCTTCAGGTGTCTCACAAGAATAGACAGCGAACCATTACACTGGGCCTTAGATGCGGATTTGATAGATCTGTACTATATATCCTACCTAGACTTCACCCTAGCTCGTCTGATTTGTATAGCTACTTAGATATGAAACAAAGGGCATTCTCAAGGACTTTGTCATCTTGTTCGTGTGGGTGAGATTTTCATATTTTATTCTAGAACAAAAAATCATATTGCTTTCAGAATTGAAGAAAAAAGGATCTGAACTATGTGGCTGAAGCCAATTCGAGAAATGAGACGAAGATTAAAACTTCTTATTATATCTTTATGGACATGTGTAAATCTTGAATTATATTTTTTTCCTAAATTTAAATTATAAAATAATAAAAAATAATATTTAAGATTTGAAATTGGAAATCTGTAAATAGATACTCATAATAAACGAACGAAATATAATTATTTTCTTGAAGATCTAGATTAAAAGTTAAGAATATAGAATATTAAGTATTAAATAAATAATATAGTTAACAAAATCCCTTAATCACTCAACCATTTTATCCCTTTAATATATCTAGAGATATAAAGGTTAAAAAATATATATCTATATACTAGATTTATAACTCCAATACATACAGAAGACAGGCGTGTATATATATACTATCCAAATCCATACCCAATATCATAGCCTGTCCTTGTCTGCTTGCTTTACACCCAAAACAAATAAATAACCATAAGTATTACCTAATTATCCTCTAAACTCCAACTCCAACTCTAACTCCAACTCCAACTCTAACTCCAACTCCAACTCTAACTCCAACTCCACCTCCCAATACTCGTAGGCATCAAACCTCCTCAGATCATATATAAAAAAATACATCTACACACACACACATAAACCACCCAAATATATAATCTCTCTAAATATCCCAACCGTTTAAACATCATTTTAATCCAAATAATCTAGCTATCCCCACCTACACCTATCTACACCCACTCACTTATCCCACAAATCCACAACCTACTTCATCTACTCCCTATCATCTACCTACCTACCCACCCACCAACTAAACACCCAGCAACGAATTCCCATACTATTCTACCATTATAATCTTTAAGTATCTAATATTTCTGGATGTGAATTTCGAATTAAGTATCGATATCTCCTTCTTGAATAGATAATATAATATATATGTATGGATGGATCAGGATTATATAGTATACTTGAGATGATGATGAGAAGTGGGTGATGATGAGAGAGAAAAAGAGAGAGGTGGGTGTAAGATTTCGTCTAATTAGGTATTTCATTCCTCATCAGCTATACAGGATCACCAGATAGGACAGTGTATGATCACATTATATACCTACACATACACATACAAAAACATGAATAACCCTACTCACTAATCAAACACACAAACAGACAGACAGACAATCAAAGAAAATTAAATTATCAAGAAATATAACTAATTCAAATCACACTAAACCTCATAAAATCAACTGCAACAAGTATCATCGACCAAAACTCATTAGTAAGTAGCATAATAAAATCAATAATCATCATCATCCTATAAAGGTTAGGAAATATAAGACTTTTGGGAAACTATCTGCTTTTTGTTCGAATATGTTAAGACTCCTATCGTGCCTGCGACTGAATACTAAGAGGCCGGGGATGCTAAAAGTACAGAAGGATATAAGATTTGTGAGACGAGGAAATACGCGATGTGTATGCGCATGACTGAATGTAGTCTTTTCATGAGTAAATACGGGGGTATGCCTAGATTGGAAAAAAGTTGGTGAATTTGATGTTTTGATGAACCATCTACCAAGCGCTGACTTCGAAATTTTCCTTTTTAAGAGTTAGTGGTTGGTTATGAATATATGGAAGGGACTTTGAATTTACCTCTGGGAAATATGTAGTAACCACAGTACGGTCTGCGAATTTCCTGCCTGCTAGGGCCTTAAGAGCCTTGCCTGCTGAGTCTGGAGTGTCAAACTTCACGAAGATCTTACCAACACCAGTTGATTGCCTGCTGCCACCAGTTGGTCTTGGAACCTTCATTTCAAGAACTTTTCCATATTTCTCGCATTCTTCCTTTACATCTTCGCAAATTTCTAAAGTATTGATCAGTATGTATTCACACGAATAGACACGAAACACTTACCCTCATAATCTTCATTATCAATAAGTTCTTCGGGAGTCACCATGTTAAGTAATTGTAATACTCTGCCATTTTCGAGATCCTGTGATGTGGTACCAGCAAGCATAGACATAGCATTGACGCTCATCTCCAAGCCGGAAACTTGGGTGTTACCGATACTAGCTCTCTGAACCTTGAGATGTTTATCACCAAGCTCCATACCATTAAGACCCTCGACAGCAATGTCAGTTGCAGCAGGATCCACGTATTCACAGAAAGCAATTCCCTAATTCATATTAGTATCTAGTTGAGATCATGTATTTGTGCGCTTACCCTTGATTCATCAGTATTGCTATCCTTGACCAATACGAAGGCCTTTAGCTCCCCGAAAGACACCAAGAGCTCCGTAACTTGCTCATCATTTAAGTAGTGGGGGATGTTAGCAACGCTGATCTTGTTTTGAGTGTCGGGTACAATATTAGAAACTACACCTGGCTCGAATGGTGTTTCATCAGTGACCGCGGGCACAATGTAATCTTTTGGACGACGAATGGAAAGACCTTGGGTATCTGCGGAGCCATTTCCTGTTACCATGTGGTCATTGTTCTCCATAGTAATACCGTCCAATGCTAGAGCAACAGTAGCGTCGGATTGTGTCTTGAATTCGAGTAAAGCAAATGAACCATCCTTTGAGACTTGTGCTGAGATACAAGGATCGGAGCCTTCTATAACGTTTAATCCATTGAGCTGAAGGTTGAAGAACCCAACAAGAGTCTCTTCCTTGGTATCGGCGGGAATGTTATGCACAAGGAGACGTTTCGATTGTCTAGAGTTCGAAGGTTTAAGAGCTGCATTAGTGACTGATCCGCTGGGTTGTGCCATGAAAGCTTGTAGCTTGCTTGGATCCATTGGTTGTTGCCTTGGTGCTCCTGGAAGCGGGAACATGCCCGAAAGTTTAGCTTGCTCAGCAGTGACATTCTCATATCCTGGGGGCTTAATATCCCATTGTGTCAATCTCCTTTTGCGCTCCAAGATTGGTACAATATCCGTCAGATCAGGTGTCGGCTCCTTCTTCTTCGGTGGAGGAGTTGGGCTCTTGTCTCGTTTTGCAGCTCGTTGAGCTGCGAATCCTCCGTCATCTCCACGGTCTCCACGGTCTCGTCGATCACCTCGGTCGCCTCGCTCACCACCCCTTCTGCCACCTCCACCTCCACCACCACGTCTATCGTCGAATAGATCTCTGTTATCTCTGCGCGGCGGTCTTTCATCATCGTCCCTTCTAGCATCTCGCCTCGCTGCTCCGCGATCTCTATCCCATTCTCTTTCGCCGCCTCTTCGCTCCCTACCAGAGTACCTATCTTCACGCTCCCTCTCTCTATATTCGCGACTTGTTGAGTAAGAATCCCGTGTGTCTAACTCTCCATCGCGACGAGAATTTCTGGAGCCTCGGTGCCCTGGGGAGCGCGAGCGTCGCCTATCTCTATCCCCACCACGTCGATCGTCTCGAGACTGCATTTCATTAGATAAGTTACACCTGAAAAAATTGATAAAAGAAGGCTTACATGATAATCTCTAGATGAGCCATGTCGATCTGTTGATGCCTTCTTGTCAGTAGTAGCTCCATCCTCCATTTTAGGTCTTGTCGTTGAAGGTGCCATGCCTCTTGATGAATAAGTATCGCCGTTCATATTGGCGTTGCAAGTCAGAGTATTTTTGAGAAACAAGCAAACAAATAAATGTAATTTTGGTTGTGGTTGACAAGCTCAAAACCGAGGCGGAATTTTTGTGGAAGCTGTCGCGAACTTCAATTGAATTTCGCGCTAAGATTAGAAACGTTGTTCCTGGTGTAAAGCGCGCCAAGGTGGAGTTCACTCAACCACCATAAATCACAATCAGATCCTCACAATGGGTAATTTGAGGATATCAGAATGGAGAAAGCTTCCAGTGAGTTTGGCAGAGCTTTGTATAGATACTACTTTACGTTGTGGACAATCTTTTCGGTGGAAGAAAGCTGTAGATGAAGATTGCTGGTACACGACGCTTTTCTAACAATTGCAGTAGTCGACAAACAAGGTTAACTTCAAATAGGTCTTGTACACTTCATGGCCGTATACTTTCTCTAAAACAGGATTCGACCCATCTTCACTATCGTACAATATTTCCTGAGGTTAAAGTACCGTCAAGCTCTCCACGTTTGGCCAAAAAGGAAGAGCCTGGAGATGATGAAGAAACGGAATCTCTGCTTCGGAATTATCTCAATCTTTCACCGAAACTGACTGAATTATATGAGCAATGGTCGTCAGTAGACCCAAATTTTAAGAAAAGAGCACCCAAGTTCACTGGAGTTCGTATTCTCAAGCAAGATGCTTGGGAAGCTTTGGTGGGATTTATTTGCAGTAGCAATAATAATATTATAAGAATTTCGCAAATGGTATGTATGTGTGCTAAGCCTCGGATTATTTTATTGATTGTGTTTTCATGTAGGTAAATAATTTGTGTCTACATTATGGTCCTCTAATCGGCCACATTGGTGATCAACCATTTCACGATTTCCCGGAACCCGAAGCCTTAACTGGTTCAGGGGTAGAGTCACATCTCCGTGTACTAGGCTTTGGGTATCGAGCAAAGTACATTGCCCAAACGGCTTCGATTGTGGCCTCAAAGCCTAAAGGTTGGCTCGAAAATCTTCGCAATCAGGAGACTTTTGACATACCCTTTGAAGGAGAAATCCCAGCAGGGGGTCGTCCTGGCTATAGGAAAGCACATGAAGAGCTCCTTGAGCTTCAAGGTGTTGGTCCAAAAGTTGCTGACTGCGTTTGTTTGATGGGTTTAGGATGGGGAGAGGCGGTTCCTGTCGACACTCACGTCTGGCAGATTGCTCAGAGGGACTACAAATTTGGAAAGGGAAAACACAAGAGTCTCACCAAAGCTACATATGATGCGATTGGCGATCATTTTAGAGGGTTATGGGGAAAAGAGGCTGGCTGGGCGCATTCAGTCTTATTTGCGGCGGATTTGAAAACATTTTCCGATAAACTTGTCACCAAGGTCGAAATTAAAGTTAATGAAGTCGATATAAAGCAGGAAAACGGTGATATTCTAGAAAAGGAAGTCGCAGTCAAGCGCGAGTATCGTTCGGAGGAGATGGAGATCAAGGAAGAAGAGAAGGTTACGATAAAGTGTGAAGGCGGCACAGAGGAGATCGAACTTGAGGAAGAGGTGGAAGTATTCCAGCCATCGGCAAGGAGTGTAAGAGCCAAGAGAAGGAAATTGTAAGTACCTACGTAGGAGCTGTATAATATTGTATAATAAATGTGCCTCTACTATACCAAATTAGATTTATGTACTTCACTTCTCATTAGATGAAGAAGCTCTTGCTCCTGAATTTTGACGCACAAAGATCAAGTTCAATTTACACGTCCAAGTTAAAAGTCCAATGTTTCAAAGGCTCTTGGACAGTGGTCTTTGGTTAGCTTATGATGAATTTTCATCTGATACCTTTCTTGTGTGTCTGATGACAATGTGACTTTCCTCCAGAGCTCGGACATAAAAAAACCCCCTCCCCTGTCGAAAGCATTGAGCAGCAGCCTCCTCCCCACATCATAATCATTCTGTGACTGGTACTGCCCGTCGACACTATGGGCTGGCTGGATTTCAACTCAAATTCGAAAAAGGAAAAAGGAAAAGACGATGCTAGGTCCTCATTCTCATGGGGCGATAATCTTAATGCCACGGACTGGCAGCATTATACGGACCCGCGAACCCTAATACCTACACTTCTGTTGACAACTACCATTTTGTTTTCCACGCGCTTGTACCGCTCTTATCTACGTCGCATTCCAGAGGCAACACATATACGGCCGGGGTTCTTTAGGAAAAGGAGCTTGTTTGGCACAGTGACGAGAGTCGGAGATGCGGATAATTTTCATCTTTTTCATACGCCTGGTGGTAGACTTGCGGGTTGGGGATGGTTGCCGGGAAGAAAGACCTTGCCTGAAGGGAAAGACCTGAAGAACAAGACGGTGGGTACTTCACGATGGCCGCTTGGTTATACTAGATGCAGAAAGCTAATTCACACAGATCCACGTTCGGATCGCAGGAGTCGACGCGCCAGAAGGAGCACATTTTGGCAAACCCGCTCAACCATTTTCAGCCGAGGCTTTAGCCTGGCTACGAGACTATATTCAGAATCGCCGCGTACGTGCCTACATTTACAGACGCGATCAGTATAATCGAGTGGTAGCTACAGTCTGGGTGCGAAGATTTCTATTTCGAAAGGATGTTGGGAAGGAAATGTTGAAAGCGGGAATGGCTACAGTCTACGAGGCCAAGATGGGCGCTGAGTTTGGAGATTTCGAGGCGCAGTATAGGGCGATAGAAAAAGAGGCCAAGAAGAATAAATTAGGAATGTGGTCAGGGAAGAAAAAGGATTACGAAAGTCCAAGAGATTACAAGACCAGGACGGCGGCTGCTGCAAACATATTGAAATAAATGAAGTATGATACCCCTCCCCATATGTGGATGGTTCTTTTTCACATGAGAGGACAAATGAACAAAATTTGTGTTCTCGTATTCGAACTTGAGAATGGTATAGTAGAATGTTAATATAATTGTGTGAGGATGTTCCTTTTAAGGGGTTATGGAATGAATGATATAATAATAATATTGAGGTTAATACCTAGGTACAGTACCTAGTACATGATTCTAACCATGACATGTGAGAAGGGATAAGCCTGAATCATAATAAGTTTCTTCATGCATATAATTGGAGATCTTATCCCACGCAATCAAGCATTGGAGATAATTTTACGTCTCTGAGGTCCTACATATTTGAGAATAACCCCATAGCAACCAGTTGAGGAATGTATCATACATCATGGTGCCGGCAGATGTCATGATGGACTACCCAACATCATGGCAAAGCCATTAATAAATATCTACTACTCCATAAATGTTGCATATCTTTATAAATGGTTGCTATTCATAGTTTTATTCTCGGTACTTCGAGGTATTCTTGGAGATCAAACCAATCAAAGGCAAAAGGTTGTTAGAAGTAGGATTTCGTCCTCTTTGGGCAGGCACAGATAGGGATGTGCCTTGATGGGTTTCACCCTCATCCGAAAAAACGTTAAATGGGTAATAATATGTACGGAGTAGGGTAGGGTATGCATCAGCAGCAACCAATCCCTCGTGAATGTCAACAGTCTGTGTACATTGTGCCTTTTCAGTCTTTTCATCTCTCACCATTCCCAAAATGTTCTTTTACTCCTAATTGCAACGATCAACCGCAAAACAGTCAATCTTCAATTTCGATACACACACTCATTACACACTCACTCACTTACACTCATTTATTCAGTCACTCAGTCACTCGCTCATTCAACTCACTCAACTCACTCACTCAACTCACCCACTCACTCACTCCCTCACTCGTTCACTCTTTGTCACTCTTTCAAACAATCCTTCCTTTCCTTATCAGACGCTTTTCTCGTGTTGTGTTTAATCATTTGATCTGTTTGTTGTTCTGCTACCGCTGCCCAAAGCCAAACATTATATGGTACTGGTACGTGTCACAATTCTTCCCCCTGTTTATGCCCATTTTCAAATGCAGTGCATAAGGTGATTATCGAATCATCTTCAGGTACTTCTGTTACCTCATGAGCAAATATGCAAGATGGAAGAAAAAAGAAAAACCGACAGCCAGGGTAGAAATGAAAGAAATACTTGTGTACAGCAGAACTAACATCTCTCTCTCTTCTATTATTGAAGCACAACAGACTATCAATTCAATCAACCCCATCGCCACTTATACACTCATTTCCAACACCAACCAGTCGATTTTATATCAATTCCACTTTCATTTTTCAATTTTTCATAACCGTTTATACCGTTCTCGTATAATCAAGCAGCCATCCCCATCGGATTCACCACCTTTGGATTCACCACCTTTGGATTCACAGTCAGCCATCAATTCGAACAACCAATCTCGCTTGCCATCCTCTGAACAGCAACCCTCCTCTCCAAGACAGACTCCACCAAACTAACAACTAGTTTCAAAGACTGCGCAATCGATAATAATAACTCCCCAGAAGAAGATAATATCATACGAAGATATCGAACATTGATAGATCATCCATCTCCCTTACAGACGGATCTTATCATTGAAATTTTCACCAATTTTTTTCAATTTATATCACCAGCAACAAAGGAGGAGGATTCCTATCGTTCTTTTCTCACAACAGCAATAATAAGCCGTTTAAAATTGGTTCCTGGTTCCTGAACACCCGAGGTCCACCCCTTCAAAGCTGGTACAAAAAATAAAAATATCAATTATTTCTCATTAGTCCAGTACGCGAATCTAGTCTAGATCCATTCAAGTTCAACTTGCCTTTTCGAGACTGAGATTACTATCACTTTTAGAAGTTTAGATCCCTTCGACTCCATCTCAACTTCAACACCAACACAACACTCATTACATGCTATACTACAAACAATAACTCTTTAATACACCCTCGAGAGCATTTTCAATCGATCTACACACCATAGTGAAGGATAATCAAATGGCATAAGGGTTGCGCGTCCAGTCAATGCAATTACTTCGGGAACTGGAGGAGAAAGAGGCCATCGAGCTTTTGATTCTCACGAACTCGCGACACGAATAATACCCATTAATAATACTTACTCAGAGGGGAACAGCAATGAGGTTCTCATCATGGCTGAACCCATCAGCTAGCGAATCACGATCTATAATACGCTTTTCTTTCCTGTTAACCTTGACGCCATTATCGCGCGCGATTACTTTCCAGCCAGCTCCATCCGCCAACCTCGATCTCTCGAATTTGGGACGTGTAGGGCTTGGTGGGGATTTTGATGGTATATCGTTATATCAATTCCAGGGACAGAATGAAGATGGATACAACACTACGACCCAATCCGTCATGGCACGGTTTCCTACGGGTGAATTCGACTCCTTGGCATCGGCTGATGCTTCAATCACAGCAATGTGCCCGTACGTCAAATCGGATGGAACTCTTGTGGGGGTCGTAATTGGAGGTAATTTCACGAGCTTAGGAAATGTGGAATCGCAAGGCATTGCATTGTTCAATTCAAAAACGTCTGAAATTACTGCACTTCCTGGATTATCAGGATCCGTTTCAGCACTCTTATGTGACGAATCGACAAATGCAGTCTACATCGGAGGTTATTTCGATTCTACGAATTCTTCAAATGTAATCAAGTTGGTGGACAATAACTTAGTTGCCCTTCCCTTTTCCGGATTTAACGGTCGGGTCAATTCTATCTCGAAGGCTTCGAACGGGAATATAATATTTGGTGGAGCTTTTACCGGACTAGGAAACTCTACGGCACCAATCACTAGTAGAAGTAGTAACACAACTGATCAGCAAATTGTCAATATTTCTGGCGCCAATATCACGAGCAGCGGCACGGCCACAACTGCTGGCTTTGATGATCCAACAAATATTGTGTGCAAGACCGGTGGCACTGACGGCGCTGGAAATACTTGGTTGCTCAAAGATGATTCTGCTGGGTTCTGGAAAGCTACATTTGGATTTGGCTTTCAACCTACCAAATTGAGATTATGGAATACGCACCAAGATGGCCGAGGTACCAAGACCTGGAGATATACGGCTCAGCCAATCAACGGCATCATGAATTTTACATATATCGATCCAGCCACAGGTGCTAATGCAACATGCACATCGGAGTGCCCTTTAAGCAGCAATACTAGCATTCCATACCAGGATTTCCACTTCGTGAATTCAGTTGGCATGGATGCCTTTCAGATCGATATCTCTGCTTGGTACGGTAGTGGAGGTGGCTTGAATGGCATTGAGCTGTTCCAGGATGACATATTTTCTTACGCTATCAAGGAATTCAACGAGCCTTCCTGTGCTTCTTTGTCGACTGCCTCGAAAGCTACATCTACCGGTCCTTGGGCTATCAGTCCTTCATTTCAAAGTGTTGCAAAGTATCTCACGGGCCAATTTACATCAGACACAGCAAGTGCAGCTTCTGTTGTATTTTATCCAGACATCAGAGAGTCGGGGAACTATACAGTGAAGATGTACACACCTGGATGTATCCAGGATAATACATGCTCAAGCCGAGGCTCTGTTGTTGTAAATGGAACCGTGGCTAGTGAGACTTCACGTGCAACGGCAACCTTTGGCTCACCCATTACCCTTTTTCAGTCTAACGACTACGACAAGTATGATGAAGTGTACTCTGGTTACATCCAAGCTGCTAGCGATACATTCCGCCCTTCAATTACCCTCACCCCAAGCGGTCAGATACCTGGGAATTCGGAGAATTTTACGATTGTGGCTCAGCGTGTTGGATTCATCCTGAACAATGCAACTAGCACTGGATTAAATGGTCTTTTCGAGTTCGATCCAAGCGAAACTGTCATTAACGCTTCCAATTTCCAGAACAATACGGTTGTTCAAGCTGGTATGAGCCTTAATGACGATGCTGAGGTGAACGCTGTTGTAGCTTCTGGCAATACTATTTTTGTTGGAGGCAATTTTTCTGCAACAAATTACCAAAACATATTCTCGATCTCAGACGCCGGTACTAATTCACTGGCTTCGAACGGTTTAAATGGGAAGGTGCTCACCATGCTTCTTAACGACACAACTCTATATGTTGCTGGAAAATTTAGCAGCAACACGGGCTCCACCACTACCACAGGGTTGAGCAATATCGCTGCTTATGATACCGTACAGAACAGATGGAGCGCATTAGGAGCTGGTGTCAATGGACAAGTTTCATCAGTGGTACCAATATCAATGAACATCAGTGCTAACAGACCTGAGACTGTTATCACATTAACTGGAGATTTCGACCAGCTCGTTGCATTTGGTAACAACTCCGCTGTAGCTGTTTCTGGTTTCGCAATCTGGGTCCCATCACACAGCAATTGGTTACAAAACCTTAAAATTGCTAAAATGGCTATCAATGGTCAACTCACTGCCGCAGTAAATGCATCTGGCGACTACATTTTTGCAGGTTCGCTCTCATCATCACAACTGGGCGTTAGTGGAGTTGTTTCCCTCGCATCAGGATTAAGCCCATTTCCTGTTGACATTCAAGCCTCTAAACCACAATCTACCTCAACCTTATCGAAGAGGAATACTGCCAGCCAAAATGTTAGTGGTGTTGTAACTGGACTATTCTATGAGAATGGCTCCAAGAATGTCACAATCCTTGGCGGCCATTTCACTGCAACCTCTATCAACGGCACTGATGTTAATAACCTTGTATTTATTGATGGCGCGAATGACAACACTGTCACTGGACTCGGGTCCCAGATCGACGCCGATTCTACCTTCCGTGCATTGGCTATACAAAACGACATTCTCTATGCTGGAGGTTCCGTTACTGGCACTGTTAACGGAGGAAGGGTCAACGGGCTCATTTTATACGATCTTAAGACTTCTACATTTGCATCACAAACACCAGCCCTTGGCGGACAATCAGCCGTTGTTCATGACATTGCTGTTAGGACAAAGAATGGTGATGTATATGTTGGTGGAAGTTTCACTCAAGCTGGAGGTCTAGATTGCCCAGGGGTTTGCCTTTTTACAGCTTCTGCATCCCAATGGAATCGCCCAGGAACGAGTCTCGAAGGTACCGTGAATACCATGCTTTGGACCAGCGATACCTCTCTTATCGTCGGCGGATCATTAACAGTCGATGGAGCCAATGTATCTTTAGCAACTTACGATACTAAGGGCCAAACCTGGACTACCGCTACTGGCTCAAATGCCATCCCAGGAACTGTTACATCCATTGTCCCAGCGACTAGTGATATCTCACAATATTGGGTAGCTGGCACTGCAACTAATGGATCGGCATTCGTTATGAAGTATGACGGTACAAACTGGAATTCGGTTGGGAATGTGTTCGAAAGTGGCTCGGTCATTCGTGGCCTCCAAATGATGCCACTCTCATCAAACCACGATAATTCCGATCTTGTTCCTTCGAATCAAGTTTTAATGCTTACTGGTGCCATGGTGTTACCTACTTTTGGTAATGTCTCAGCAGTTCTATTCAACGGAACCACCTTTCAACCTTTTGCACTCACAAGCAGTACGTCAAATACTGGAGGTAGCCTGTCGCACATTTTCTCGCAAGAGAATAACTTTTTCAAGTCATCTGGTAGGTTAACCATGAACAAGCAATCCTGAATAAATCTCTAACATCATTATAGGTAGTCACCTTGCAGTTGGCTTGGTCGTACTGATTGCTTTAGCAATTTCTCTCGCATTAATATTCCTTCTAGTCGTTGCCGGCGTGTTGGCGGAACGCATCAGAAGAAAACGTGAGGGTTATATGCCTGCACCAACGAACAGTTATGATAGAAATAGCGGAATGTCAAGAATTCCTCCACATCAACTGTTCAGCTCACTTGATCAAGGTCGAGCAGCAGCCGAAAAAGCACCCATGATTTGAAACGACGGTATAACGACGGCGCAAAGGGAAAGGGCTTGGCTTAAAGGCGTTCTGGATAGGCTCATGTGCCTTTCGTTTTTTTTTCATTGTTCATTGTTTCAGCATACCCATTTGGAGTTTTACATATTAAAGTGATGCCTCTATTGCTCCGTGGAGCGATCCGCTTTGCTTTTCTAATTTTTCGGCAACTATGCAGATCTATTGGTATCACCACTTTCTTTTTTTTTCCCGCATTACAGCCAGGCTTAATGTTTTTACACCAAAATTCTTTCGACATGTTACAAAACAACTCAATCTTATCTCTCTACCAACTTTGTACAAAGATAAAATAAACACAATCTGCGGTCACCGCCACAAAGGCCGCGTGAGGTGAAATTAGCGTGGAATAGGAAATTTTTGAAGAACAGCTAGCTAGATTGCTAAAGCAGATCTTGATATCTTTTGCGTGGTTACAGAGCCTCATGTATGAATGTTTCGTCGATATTTCGCGTAAGGTGCAGCGAAAGTGGAGAGAAACAAGCTAGATAGTAATGTATTAAAATCACACTTTCTTTTTCTTTTTGTTTTTTTTGCTCTTTTTGGTGATGTGTGTGAATAGGAGGGAAGTGAGGAGAGGTGATATATGGGTTGAGGGATAGGGACTGGGAATTGATTTCTCAAGAAAGGAGGGAGGATATGGTGAGGAATGATGAGTGCAAGGGAGTAGGAGAAGGAGAAGGGGAAGAGGAGTTAGAGGAGATAGTGAAGAATTAAGAAAATACATAATTAGAAGATAAGAAAGATAAGATTGCAGTGTTCCGTGCTGTGTATATTGTGCAAAAGTGTAGTTGGAATTTAATTTAATTTCTATGAAATGTTGTATATGAATATGAATATCAATATTATCTTCATCTTTAAAAGTTGTAAGACTTATTAGTGATGGATATTTAAATTAAATTAGATCTTTATTCGGATAATAATTGGATGTTGAGAAAGAAAACTTTTTAGGTGGTTTTGGAGTTTAAAGGTAGGTGGAGTAGAGTAGGTCATTAGGTAGGTAGGTGGGTGGGTGAATATGGTTGTATTATAGCTTGTAACTATGACCCAAACCCAAGTGTGTGTGTACAGACAGCCCCGACACACCTTAATAAATGATATTATGGGATTCTACTGAGATTATACCGAAATGGAGAATGAGAACGAAATCGTCTTGTATATTAATATTCCAGCCATCTATCTATCTAGTCCATATAATTAGTAGTTCATGTAAAATTAACCATCGATCCCAGCCGGTCCCACCATCCAACCTTCACCCCTCCCCTAGCTCCATAACTCATAACTCATAACTTCCTCACCCCGCATCAATAATCCTCACTTCCCTCGCAACCACATTACAGAGTTCTACTCTTATACCCGCGCCCATTAAGACATGAATCCACATGCGTTGAGTATCACTTAAGCGATCATTCCCGCTTTTTACCTCTACGAATCTGACTTCTTTTTTTCTTTGTTTGGTTTGTGGTTTGGTGTTGATTTTGTTTGAGTTGTTCTTCGTTTTGTCGTTCTGCTCATCCTTCGGCTCATCCTTCGCCTCTCCCACATCCCACAAAAACAAATCTGGTACTCCTCCCCCTCTCACCCTATACTCCTCAGCCATAACTCTCATGACTTTCCCCAGTCCTGCGCCACCAAAGGCATCCACAATTTCCTGTAAATCATGCACATCGAACTCCCACCTTAAACCTACAACGCAAGTTCGTTTATCCGCCTCGCTTTCCCACACCCCTCTAATAATTTCCGCCGCCTTGCCATTTTCAATCTCTACAATGCGATGATTAATCTCTGATGCTCTTGCTGCGAAAAATGCATCTGTGTGGAGGTCTAGGGGACAAGTTTGGTACTGGGTTTGGAAGACATTGGGGATGTAGAGGAAGAGGATGTCGAAGAATAGATACGCGAATAGAGTGCGTAGGATGCCGCCTTCGGAGTGGTATCCCTTTAGCCCTTGGCTGCGATAATAACTTAAACATAGTTCCTCGACGGAACATTCGGATGTGCCGTTTCCTTCATATTCATCTATCCAGATCGTTTTGGTGCTGCGTTGACGCTCTTCCATTCCATTTGGGGTGCTGAATCGACGACGGAGTGTGGTGGGTGTTAGGTATTGTTTTTTGATTTGGATTCCTTGGATGGTTATTTCGAGGGGTTTTGTGAGGAGTGCGTGATCAAATTCATGTTTTTCTCTTTTGGGAATCTTGAGATTTTTCTCGAGTTTTCGAATGCGTTTTTGGAGGTCGTAGTGGTAGATGGCGTGGCAATATCTATCTTGGAGTCCTTGTTCGCAAGTACGAAGTGATGTGCGTTTCCAGAGGCGTTTTTGTTGCTCGGTATCGTTGATTCCAAGGACTGGTTGAAGAGTGCACATGTAGTGTTCTTCAAGGAGGGCCTTTCGTTGGTACCATGCACCTCGCTTGGCTGAATGGAAAAGTTTTTGATTGAGGAGTTCGGTGAGAATTGCGTGTTCCTTTTCATGGTCTTTGAAACGGCCGAAAACGTATAGGCCTTTGTGCACAATTCGTGTGTATACCCAAGCAGGAGAAAAACGACGAAGGTAAGCCCCTTCACCACTTTCGTATATGCTATCTTCTTTGCGTTGTTCTTCTGCTAGGAGAACTTTCCAACGGGGATATACTTCTTCGAAGATTTCCATTACTTCGTCCAGCCCGGCTTTGCCCCGGTTACTGTATTCGAGGATCTTATCGACGCGATATTGAGTTCTTATTGAGGCTTCGAATTCAAGGAGGATGGAGCGATAGGGGAATATGTTGGTAGAACGGGAGACAATATAGCTAGGAAAGTTGCGACGGGAGATTCTGGCAAGGATAATGGTTGTGAGGGATTTATCAGTCCACTCAGTTGATCTATAGAAAACGAGATGAACTCGCTCGAATAAGTTCAAGGCTGGGAGGGAAAGTCGTATACAAGGTCCTGTTATAGCCATGACCTTTCTTAGGAAATGAACATCTCTGTTCACATGATCGAGACTATCGTCTTCTTCTTCGGGGATGGATCCATCTGGAGTCGTTGGTATCGATGTTGACATGCTGTCGGCTCTTTTCAGACCAACATAGCCAAGGCCACTTTGACGTTGACTTGTTTCACGGAGTGCTTTCAGTATATCGGCTTTGTTTTTCCCTTGAACCTTAAGCTCTTTTGCAAGACCCTTTAGCTCGTCTAGATTCAGTAAAGATAATGCTTCATCTAAAGTTCTGATCTGATCTTCAGACGAATCAGCAAAAGTAAATGAGTTTTCGAGAACGGTCCCTTGCGGAGGCCTCAATTCCGCTGGATTGACTTGAACCGTCGCTGTAGACTCTGGCAATTCTCGCATTGACTGCAAAACCTTCGAAGTTGCAGGAGCGTCCGTCAAATCACCATGATAACCCAAGCGATTGATACGATGCCAAGCCGATGTTTTCCGCAAAAAAAGACGCACATATCTATCCTCATTAGTCCTCGAGGGATTTCAATTGGAAATTAAGGAATTGCACCTTACAAGTACTGAGCCTCATAATCCAACTCTCTCCATTGGTTGAAAACATCCATTTCCTTCTCATCAAATAGATGTCCTTCATCCTCCAAGACAGTTTCCAATGCAAGGTTGAAAGCATCACTATAAATACTGCTTTTACCCCTCTCCCACGTCCTCCCACTTAATCTCGACTTGAGATCATCCGGGAGGTCATCAACCTCCGCACGCATTGCTTCATATTTAGCAATTGCATTTTTATCAATGTCAACTGGTGGTAATGCACTCTCCAATTCCGTCACTCTGGGAGCCCCAATCTGATCCACTTCGTCTTCTCCTTCATCTTCTTCCGAATCAAGAATTTCAGTTTTTCTAAGATGAATTGGGCTTCGACTTCGTGGTGATAAAGGTAATTCCTCATCATCGGAGGGACATCGAGAACTGAGATCCTCATCTTCTGCACTCTTTGTGGTTTTCAGGCGTTTCGACGGTGGCAATAATTTATCTTTGAAGTCTTGAGGTATTTTACGTTGAGTGCGTCGATGTAACATAACGTTGTGATTGGTATTCTTAAGTTCTTCGAGTAGCATTATACCGAAAGTTGTGTACAAAGAAGTAGTCCACACATACTTCTCCAGTGTTATATAATTCCATGCAAGAGCATTGCCTAGCGCGCCTTGCATCGCGTACACCAGCACGTAGTCACCTGACATATCATTCTACCTTTGGCAAAAAGGGCATCCTCTCCAAGTAATTTCACAACCCAATCATAAGCTCAGAATCCTTCACACAACTCTTCATAACTCCCACACGCGATCTCCACTTCCAGCATGTCACAACCAAACACACCCTCTCCCGATACAAATCCTAATAGCATTTCTAGCATCAGCGCGGCCGCCCAGACGTATCAGCTCGCTATGCAAAACCAATCGCATTCCGCAACCCCACCTGCAGCCACCCCCTCCGGCGTCCTCCAAATGCCCGGCGCAACACGAGATGTGGTTATGGAAGATGCGCCTCTTCACAGACCTGCAGTATGCCTTATACTTCCCCCAGACCCTATTCCTCCACCCAATCCTGAATCATCCCACCCTTCAATTGGACATTTCCTCTCGCGGCTGTCCTCTGCAGTAGAAATACTTACTCATACATCCCCATCACAGTCTCCTGCCGCTGCAATCCTTCCGCCTACAACTCATTCCCACTCGCCAATTCTACCGCCATCGCATCAGGCTTCTACAGCGACTGCGAATCTCAACCGTGATGCAGCTTCTCCGGTTCCCGTTCCTGCGCGCACAAGTACGCCTGTACCGAAAGTAAATGGAAATGAGAATTCGTCGAGAGCTACGAGTCAACACCCGGATGCGGGCCCATCGTTACCAACTGAAGCAAGTGTTCATGGAGCGCCGGCGCGAGTTTACTTGAATCAGACCGTTACAGGAAGTTTACTGGAAGGCATGAAGTTGTTGGCTAAGGACCAGTATGTACCCGGATCTGTTGGCTGATTGAATGGCTTTCTGGTGGTTATTGACTAATAACTAATTCTTGCTAGGCCAAAAGATCCTTTACGAGTACTAGGGGAATTTCTTTTGTCAAAATCCAAGGAGTTGGAAGGAGGGAATTAATAATGGATGGAATCTAATTATACCCAACATATTTCAAAAGCATTTCAAGAATTCGGGCGTTCAAGGATTTCGACACCTCACATTACGATATTTGGACAATGGTTCAGGACAAGACTGATGCTGGAAGTGTTTCTCAATATTTCATTCGCTATGTAGCTTTCATGCTACTGTAGCAGTACTTCTTAAGAAGGTAGTAATTTGTGATGCAAACATGTCCACACCCCAACTCCGTATTCATTTTGTTATCATGAAACTTTTTATGCGACCATGGTGCTGGCAGTGGCACTCTCGTATCTCCAGGTTGGTGGGAGAACACCGACGGTCTTGTAGTAACGGGAGAGACGGTGGATACGGGATTCGATGAGAATCAAACGGAACTTAGAGTCCTTGTCCTTGCGGTTACGCTCAAGGTGCTTGCGGACAGCGACGGCCTGAAGTCGATAGATTAGTATGATTGCACGTTAGCAACAGGATTGGAATGAAACATACCTTCTTGATCAACATGTAAAGGTCCTCTGGAATCTCAGGGGCGAGGCCTATTTTGTCACTCTGTCAGTCTGTGACCAAGCAGAGGCGTTTGTAAAGATACAAATTGACACATCACGGATGTACTATAATCCAATGATGGCAGATACGGAAATATTCAAGTAATATTGGATATCGTACCGTTGGACTTGAGGATTCTAAGAATCTTGTTACCTATAAGAATTAAAAAAGTTAGCATTCGCATTCCAGCCAGATCAAAATTCAACCACATCAATTGCAAATCGAATAAATCCACATACCAGTAACAACCTTGACTTGAGCAATACCGTGAGAATCTCTCAAGACAACACCGATTTGGGAAGGAGCGGCACCCTTCTTCGCAAGTTTGCAAATTTGGTCAACAACTTGCTCTGGGGTGGTCTTTAGCCATGAAGGAGGAGCGCGGGAGTATGGGAGAGCTGAGGAAGAAATTCCCTTTCCGTTGGAGTGCATGCGACCCATTTTTGCGGTTTTGTCGACGGTGATTAAACTGGTCGGTTGGTTGAGATTGTCGAGAGGTGTTGGAAAATGAAATGTTGTCGCGGAATTATTATCTTCTTGTTGTGAATTTGCAAATTCGCTTAGGGTAGAGCTAAAAGATTCCACACTACACCTAAAATCGACTAGTGCATCTCAAGTATCTTAAGAAATTTCTTGAGTCCACGACATTTTCAATGGCAACATGAATCCATGAACAAGAATTTATTTCTCGCGATGCGTCGCAATTGATTGAGAAAAGGCCTCTAATTTTGTTGCAACTACACAGGAAAGCGAATTGAATTTCCCATTTATCTTAACTGTAAGGAAACCCCATTTCATTTACATCCGGCCGAGAAGATTCAATGATGATATATTATTTTTACTATTTTTCTGGTACCTCTTGTTTTAGGACCCTCTGCGGAGGGAACAATGAACTCACGACACATCTGATTCATCTTCTCGGTTGCTTGTCTTTCATGAAGTTGCATAGCTACTTTTGATCTGTAACTGACCTTGATATAGAACACTCTCCTTGAAAGACAGAAGTTTTTGGGCCGCGCATCTGAATGAAGTTGGATTGCATGTAGGATATTGTGGATGTCCAACGTCTTTGCAGGATCACATGGCTCGATTTTATGGTACCGATTATTATTCTATAATGGTGGGCAGCTTGAATTGGATAAATTGTGTGTATTGCATAGCACCACCATTTCTTCGTTTCCGAAAAGAGGTAGGTCCATAGGGCAGCTTAAAAGATTGAGATGGATACATGCGCTCAAGTGATCTTTTTCTTGATGGCAGGAGGGTACAATCTCTACTACACTGTTTGTCTATAGAAAATACAAATGCCTTTTAATATCTAGCACCTGCCTATCCACATTCTAGTTGACATAAATGATTTCCATCGAGTCAACAGCGTGCCTCTCACCTTGAATTGATCCACTGAAGTTAAAGGCGAATCTATGTTCTTGAAAGAATGGATGTTTTCTTCCATCAGTCAAGAAGCTGTGGGATATCAGGGTTTGAATGAAATTCCACAATTACAATACTACACTGTAGGTGTCGTGAGACAGGGGAAGTGACAGTGAAAGGGAGGGAATTCCGTGATTACCAAAAGACACTGAATTTCGTGGTCCGTTTACAGCGAAGCTCACATTAATGGATTACAACATCATGTTGATGAGGATTTACTGAGCATTGAAACATAAATCCGATCTCCCTTGAAGATACATAGCAGTGCTTTTTTCAAAACTTAAGGTTCAAAGCTCTGCATCTTTCACAAGCCATATATACTATCAGGGAGAACCTAAGAATTACAGCTCTGAAGTCACAGTCCAATTCGCAACTGATACGGCCATCCATCAACCACAGGGATCGCCCATGAAACCATTTATATCCTTATCCGCCACTCACAATCATGAAATTATCATTCTCGCCCGCCAACTATCTTCCCCTTCTCCCTCCATACATGTCCAACTTCAATCTCTAGAGCGAGATAATAGCCGACACACATCAGGAATAGCAAAGAAAATGGCTTTAGCTAAAAATTCCTATCAATGTGCTAATGCAGGTTCAAAACTTGTAACCTACGATTAATGATGCCTGATTCCGGAGTACTGTTGAAATCATGTAGGAGGTAGTGGATCTTTCGAAGACATTGATTGATATTGTTATGGATGTGAATGATGGATTACTTATTAGGCAAAGCGAAAGGCGTACGGTTTTCGCGAGACATGAGATGGATTGATATCGATGGCCATGAGACATAGTGGGGGTGAACAGAAATATCCTGCCTTCGAGCTAGCACTAATCATGACAATCTTTCTATTATACTTCACAAATCCAACCACTACACGACGCGTGCGGGAAGATTGGCAAGTATAGACTGCACTTTCTTCTGGGCTAGCCGCGTGCGACTTGGCCAGGGAGAGAGCTGTCTGTTAATGGCATATCAATACAAGAAGTATAACAAAGGAAGCTTCCAACAGGCTCTGCGACCGGTTCAGAAATCCAAAAGATACACGCATCAACCCAGAGAGTATCTACCATTATCACAGGTCAACAAAGACGTCTCAAATGATCTTACGTCCGGTGAGCAATCCATCAGGATTATCTACACTCTCTTTCCATCCCTCCCACAAAGTTACAATTTATCATTCTGCTCTCGCATCTAAATAGCTGTTAGCTGAATTCGTAAGACCTACTGCTTTACTTACCAAGCGCACTGCAATGACCAGCCCTGCATCCCTCACATAAATATCTGTTTATGTGGGCCTTTGCTTCGGTCGGAATAATTGGGTAAGTACACATGTATTCCACGCCACTTCATGATACGATATGCGACTCTTTCCGCATATGAATCATCCAGAATTGGTCGACTGAGGCTTTTGCAGCTCTTGCAGCGTTGGTGATATACCCTTCCATTGTATTTCGCTCCTGGGTACATTCGTATAGTGATAGCAATCCGCTTACTTGACCATCCGTCAGAGCTGCATGTATGGTTGCGACATATAAATCGACCCATGATATTTGTATCATATTCTTTGGTGCAACTTGTAGCGTCATCAATATCATGAAAGTCAAAATGGAGATTATTCTCTTCCAGCAAGCGTGATACACTATCGTGGAGCAGCGGATACATAGACCAAGCCTCAGTTGACTTTGATCTTTGAGAAGGCATGTTGATTTCGCCGAAGGCTAGGGTAGAGGGATGGAAGATCAAATGATTTCGTGCTGAGTATGTCGGGCGAGGAGTTGGATATGCCAGCCGTGCATAAGACCCTTTCCATATATGTAAATTTAGAATCGAGAGAATCTTTCACTTCCCGTTAGTCTTCAACTTGGCAATAAAACGGTGACCTCATTGCCTTCTCCCCCATTCCTAACATGTGGCTAGGAATGGTTGTGGACCAACAGTACGACAGTGATGGAAGTTAGAAATCACAAAAAGATTTGTTACTCTACCAAATCATGAATGAAGAGCCCAGCAATGTATACTCTACCTCTATTCTGAAAAGGGGCAGAGGATGAGCACATTTTTATACAGAGAAGAAATAAAAGACATATAAACTTGCTACTCCATCACATACACTATTTCTCAAACAAACGAAAGGAATAAAGTTTTGTCAATCTCTGCCGCCAGGATATTTTCCACTCGACAAGAAAAATGAAAAATTTCCTAAGCAAATAGCCGTCTGTTGCAGAAGAAGCAATACTATCACGGTCGCCTGCAGCCACACATCCTTGCCCTTGCGCGATCCTGCATATTCAAACACGTCGATTCTGGTGCATAGTCCACTGGCAAACAATGACATCACCCTCCAAAGAGAGGGCACAACTAATTACTGTCTTGCGAAGGGAAGCCGTTGGCGGGCCGTTGGTGATTCGGGCCAGACTCCGTATATGGCTGTGATGATCGTTCGAGACACCTGAAGGAGAGGGTCGGAATAGAGCCCGAGCTAGCGCAGTGCTTATCCGACACCTCAGTCATATCAGCGTAACCCTATAGTATTGTGATATTAACAGGCGCATCCATCCTCTAGAACCATATAGGCAGTGTCGCCGTCGCTGCCACTGTATGCTACTCCCAGAGCCCTGCAAAACAGCTCCGCGCCACCCAGCAGAATCTCCCCTAGCATTAGAGAGTGGACTTTGTCTCGTAGGCTTACTGATATTCACTGCTGACGAGGCAACCTAATACCAACGTTTCCGATCTACTAATATGTAGTTGTGATCACGCAGGGTAGCACATCGTGTCCGCTATGCTGTAGAGTGGGCTCTGCCGAAGTTCTATGCCGCAATGGCACATATTGTGAACTAACAAAAGCGTCCTCCCATCCCCTACTACCTTTGTACATATATCTACTTCGCACATCTTTTAAAGCGCTAAAGCATCCCTCCACCGCCTGCGATCCCTAATTGTACCCTCTGCTAACTCTTCGAGCGTTTGGCAAAGCAAACTCAAAGAATTTCTTGTGCTCGGTTTAACATGTCTGACACAACCTGGCATCAAAGCACCGACACCTCCAAACGCGGACTGACAACGCCAACTAACCCTAAGAGAAGTATCAATGGCGTGAAAAAATGGGCGTCAAACCTTCAACACACACAAACTGTTTCTCCAACTCGACTCAATAATATATGAGCCTGTCACCTCCATTTCCGATCTTCTTCCATCACGTCATTACCATCTTGATTGATGTTCAATCATTACCTACGGGAATATTTCGTGCCCCTTTGAGACACCTATTCCAGGGGCAATACCGCGGAAGAAGAATATTACTTCTTCTCCATGTAATCAGGAAACTACCTAGCAGCTAGCTTTGCCTCCATTTCTTACATCCCATTGCGTCCCTCGAAAGATAGAGTGGCTATTAACATTAATGGTGTATCAGAACAAGTAGATAAGCCGGAACGCTGCTATATGATATTTTAGGATTTTTTTCATGTTGTATTTCTGCAATGCATGTCAAGTTCGAATTAAAATGGGATGTTAACATGCACACTCCCTATGGGTGATTTTAAACGAAATCATCGTAGAGATCATGTGATGTTAGCATCTATGGCGCTTGTTATCTACTGCGCATCCCTGCAATTTGGTGCATTGCGCTTAAATTTTCAAGATGCTAAAATCTTCCTGACTGAGATTTCATTCTTCTCCCTCATCGTCACTTTTCTTTACCTCAACTTTATTCAACACTCAATTCATTAGGAAAAGTTTTGAATTATCTTCAACCTTTCGATCCCTATTAGGTGTCGATATTAAAACAACATGCCCTAGAACACACACTACCCGTCTTTTTACCTTCCTTCCCTTAAAAGCTATCAAAATGGACAAAATAATTGATGCACGATTTGATCGTGTAGAAAAGGCTCTGCAACTTGATAGCTTCAATTTCCAAATACAGCCTGTTCCCGCTTTGGCCC